TCCTGGCCGAAGAGAGCAGGGAAATGTAAATAAACGCTTTATAGCAAGATTATGGCAAGATTCAAATTTTCCATTGCTTTTGCATATCCAAGAGGCTTTATTTTCTTCAAAATTGAACATATGAAGTCGGCTGTACAAGGCCAATTCTGGTTCGGTATGATGCTTCGTAGAATCTCTAGAGTTTGCAATTTCTCTTCAAAAGCGTTCATCTTTTTACAAACACAATACATACGAGATAGAGATCTGAAGATCAAATCCGACATTGTTGAGCATACTTCTAATCGGACATATAAAATTTAGAAGTTGGTAGTCTAGCGATGGACACCTTCGCAAGCAAAGGCTTATCGAGCATCTCATTGTTCTGAAACTCCCTTTGCTTCCATTATGCTTAGCCCCAAAGTATCATATCCTTAAAATTCTTTGCGTTTTTTTTTTCATTTAGTTAAAAGATGGATTTCGCGAAATTCCATATTTTGGCAAAGTCATCGATGAAAATCCGTAGCAGCTGCACTGTGATTCCACATTATCGCGAATCTCAGCTTGGAAGTCAATGTCGTGCCAAGCTGCTGCAAACCTGGGAACACGCCGCCATTCATAATTCTTGATTCTTAGGTTAGCAGAAGGAGAGAGAGTGAACTCTACTATGGTATTGTCAAATTGTGGGTAGCAAATTCCTTTGCAGCCATTAAACTGATTGCGTAACGAGTTCTTTTTTTCTGACTGGCGAAATTTTAGGTTGTCGGATAAATCCTGTTCCACATTCCGTTTTTCTAGAAAATTCCGAAGGCTTTTCGAAACTTTGAAGTTGCGACACGGTTAGGACATAGCAGGGCCTACCCGTCAGCATGAACGAAGCCGCAAATGCACTAATGACCAATGTAGGCAGTTTTATGAACAAACACAAGTACGTTTTTCTCTGATTTTTTCTTTGCACTTGTAAATTTGCTCTTCTAAAATTTTTTGGACTGTGTGTTGTATCTCAAAAGCCCCTACTTTGTGAAACCATGACCGCACCTGCACTTAAATTACTACCACATTTCAGAACCGACTTATTATGACTTCCTTAGCGGCGTTGGAGTACCGCGACCTTCAACTTTTCGATAGGGCCAGGTTTCGACTTGTCTCATACTTCCATCTATTTCATCTGGTTTTTCTTTCAGTTTGGTAAGCCAACCGCTATTATCATTGTCGACAACGCTGGATCCCCTGTCGATGTAAACTGCAATTGACTTCATTTTTCTGTTACTAGCGGTTGCACATCGAACGACATGTATTCGGCAAATGCTTTATTTTTTTCCAATTTGCCATCATCAAATATGAAATGTACTTACCGATTATTTTGGTCCTGACAACTCGAATATTTTTGTGCAAGCGCAAAATCAGACGCAAAAATCCTTTTGAGCGCCTATTCGGGTTTCAGAAAAGAAAAGCTTCAAGTTAATGATATCATTTGAAGTAGTTTCGATTTCACACATTTCAATCCTTAATGTATAATGTGATCATTATCAACCATGCGCTGTTAGATGGCTTATTTTGGAAAAGAAAGCGTTTCTTGATGAATTTGGTTTTGGCCACATCTATCAAAATAGTGGCAAAGTCCATGTCAAAATTACTGTATGGCCTACGATCAGGCCCATTGACTCGATATAGTTTTTTTTTGGAATACTGTTTTCGAGAGGAGAAAATTGACTGAGAGAATGGGCAAAAAAGCACTTGCCCATCTTTATCAAAAAAGACTTCAAGAAGACGTTCTGTACATTTTTGGGTTTCTCACTTCAGATCTAATATCAAAAATCAAGATCATAAAGCAATATGGAGGCGAAATTTTGAGGAAGCGTTTCCCTCACATGATTCAATTCGACGTGTGTACACTGCTTTCGTATAAATTTGTTGTTTTTAGGAGCCGTTTTCCTATGCCACGGATAAACATTTGTTGAGGCGTACTACATCCATTCTTTTCTTCCTATTCTTTACCGAGTAAGATTTGGTATTAGACTTTGTCTTTTTGCAGTCATATTGCATTTTTTTGATTCTGTTAGGTTGTCCGGAAATTAATGCAGGTTTTGATTTTCAAACGCAGTAAGTCATACGATTCTCATTCCTAAATAGGTTGTAAAATACCTTTCGATAGAGCAATCTCTACAAGAAGGAGATCTTGTTTTGCAAGAGCTTTCATCTACCTCGAGTTCCGAGCCAAAAACTACAGGGAGTCCCAAAAGTCTTTGAGCCTAACTTCCCAACGTAGTAACTTTGTTAGTATTCTTCGCTTTTCAGTTAAATTTTGCCTACGAGTACTTTGTCTAGTTTTTAGTATTTCTCAAGAAAATCATACAGTTTGCTCCACACATTCTCAAGATATTGTTCTTGGAGCAAACAGTACTACGATTTTGAGGACGACACAATGTTAACTTACCCTTTACTCAAACATCTATAGCTCTTTTGCCTTCGAAGCTCTTGCGAAATCCTGAACTGCATATTGTAGAGCTAGCTTTACTCTACGTCAACAGTGCAAAACTAATCAGTAGTCTCTATTCATTAATGCAGGATTAAGATACAAACACTCAAGTAGCGCCGTGTCAATAAGGAGAAAAAGTTCTCGGAGAAAATCCAAGGAAGCTGGAAACTTAAACACCAATTCAATTTGAGCCACTAATTCTAGCTTTAAGCTCTGCATTTTTTACTGAAATATCATTCTAAAGTCATTCCATGCACACCAAAATTGCTGTTTTTTTGATGTTATCAAAAACTTGATTGCTGCAGTTTGACACATTTGGTAAATCTCACAGACGTCTTCTCAGATCAACGTGCTTTTAATCGTCGGTCTGAGAGCTTTTAACTTTTCTTTGTGATCAGTCATGGAGAGCAAGGCTTGCTCTGTTCCACACTCAATTTTGGGCAGTCTGGAACGCTTGCTGCAGAAGATGTGAGACGTTCTCGACGTCAACTATCTGTCTGCCACGGTGCATGCGTCGCGCAAGAGTGTGAGAGCTTGTGTGAAGGCCGAATAAGGGATTTTCAAAAACTGAGTGTACCTTGTTATTTTGTAGGTTCTTCACAAGATTCCTGCTAAATTTCATGTGACTATGTTGCTTCGTACAGTTGCAGCTGAGGAAATACTAGGCTTAAAGGCTTTTGGGACACCCTGTAAAAATATCCAACTGTTTAAGAAATCGAGGAAAATCGCAACTCATTTCAGAAAAATCCTGCAAAACACATGAGACGTTTAAATGCGCCGTTGCCGTATTTCTCTTTGTTAGAAATCAAGGGAACGGAAAATTTCGCAGCTCTGCCAAAGTGACGTTGTGCTGTCCCCACTTGATTAGTTGTATGCTGCAAGTCTGTAGAAGTACAAACGTAAGTTTTTAGCTCTCCACAAGCTTTGATTCTCGAGAAATATCGTACATAGCTTTTCTTGGTCGGTCCAAGCTAAAATTCAAACTTCTCGAAAAACAAAGCTTGTAGAGAGTTGAAAATTTACGTTTGTACTTCTACAGATTTGTAGTATACAACTACTTAGGTTAGGACGGCACAGCACCACTCCGGCAAATGCACGAAGCTCACAGCTTCCTTAATTTCTGTTAGAGAAAAAATACGGCAACGGCGTATATAGATGTCTTATGTGGATAGTGCTTTCGTGAACAAGTTAGAATTTTGTAGGGCTTTTATGAACTGGTTGCTATCTTTCTCAAACTTTCGGGCAGTTGAATCTTTTTAGTTTTTGGCTCAAAACTCCTGATGGGTCAGAGCTGTTGCTAAAGCAAAAGAGCCATCTTGTAGAGCTTGCTTTGTTCTATCGAATGGTACTTTGCGATCTGTTTGAAAAGGAGAAGTGTATGACTTATTGCGGTTGAAATCAAAACTGCATTAATTTGCCGACAACCTAATATAATATTGGGTTGTTTCAAAAGTTCTACCCGTTTTCAAACTTTGACTTTGATTCACCGTAACTCTTCTCAGAAATAATCTTTGCAATTGCTATAAACTGTATTACAACTGCAAATCTTTGGCTATTCTGCGCACTCTTTAAGATTATTGCAGTAACAGTGGAGAAGATTTTATAGGCGAAAATCCAGAAACAATTCCTTGTAAAAACCTTCACTTTGCAAAAGCATAACTTGATCTGGAATATAGCTGAGTTGCACAAGCATTGCTCACAGTGCAGCCCATAGTCGACTGGGCAGTACCGCTAACTTTGGATTTCATCAAACTCTTTCATAAAAATTTTCTGCTAAAAATTCCGAAAGGGCCCACTTATTTTGCTCCTTCTGAGGCGGCAAAAAATGCAATTTTTTGACATTTTTGATTTTATTCGCCGTTGAGAAATCAGGAAATCTTTTCGTTCTTCTTGCAGCAGTTATTCTAGCTCCAATCTTACTATATAGAGTAAAAGTTCCGCTATTGCGATATGTTTAAGATTTTTACGCGACTTGAAGGGACCATAAAGGCAGGTTATGTTTGAGCTAAAAAACTGCAAGTTCAAAATTTTTCTGAAATCATATCTCGATGAGCATTCTGTAGCACAAGTCTCCAGCAAACATTATGTATAATAAAAAAAAATTTTTTTTCTTTTGGCTTTATATTTCGCGGCGATAGAGCAAAGATGAAAATTTTCACATTTGTTTCGCTGTCTTCTCAAAGTACGCAACCACACAGCAAACAAAGATCTATGAAAAGAAAATATCCCTGAAAACTAGAAGAAAAGAGCTTTTGAATGATTTAAGCATTGTTTATGAAAAATGGTTTCTACCTCCAAAATCGGCAGTTCAAAAAAAGGTACCGAAAACGGGCAGAACTTTTGCAACAACCCAATAGTATAGTTGCTGTACAACTACGAGCTTCAATGCTTTTCTCACACGTTATTCATTTACTAGACCTCTCCAGAAACAATATCAAGTTTCAGAGAAGCCTCCTTATAAGCTCAGTACTCTCTGCAACCTGCGCACTAGAAAGTACTGTTTTTGAAGTTAAATCCTCTAGATAAAGTATTAAAGCGATTTGTTAAACCTTTCAATGTCTGAAAATTCACTAGTTTGAATTACAAACTATTTCCAGTTTTTCATAATCCACGGTCTGCTGTCATCGTATGCGAAGCCGAGGTCTGGATGGTGCGGCCTTGGTACGTAAGGATACTTCATGTTATACGCTCTGCGTCCCCGGAATCCCGCGGATATTTCGGCGAGGCAAGCGACTGCGACCTAAAGGGGAGTGTCGAAATTACTGTTAGGAGCTTGTGTAAGAAAAATTGAACAGTGCACCATGATAGCTTTCCAAAACATCTTTGATGCTAGCAATTCTTGTTAGAATTTTGCCTGTAATATATTTATACTCTGTGTTGATGGAGTCATGATAACGAGTCAGTAAGAACAAAAATTATTGAGAAATACACACTAGAGTATGAAGATCAAAATGAAAGCGAATGTAGCAAAGCTAATTTTTATAGTAGAATCTTTGCTGATTAAATTTGGCACATTAGAGAGGATGCGGGGCGTCTTGCAGCCAGATATAGCAGCAAATTTGACTTGGATATTCTCTTCAGGAGAAACACAATACCGAACGAAGAAACTTAGAAGACTATATCAACACTTTCAAAATGCTTTTCTGCAATCACAGTCCAACTTACATAACTTTACATATTGAAGACACATTCCAATTTGCTTCTTAACATTAGTCGCATGAAATCGCTTTTGTTCTGTAATTGAATATACAACAGGCTGCTCAAATGCTCATATGATACAAGCGTCAAGCTTGAAAAGATCACGCACACAAAAAACATATTGTTTTAAACTATGGTATAAGACTAAGGCTAGTGATTAGGCTTTCATGCATGCACATCCTTGACGAGGAGCAAAGAGAGCTGTGGAGAAACTGCTTTATGATTTGGAAAGACTCAAATTCTCCATTGCTTTCTGCATCTCAAAGAGATTCACTACCCTAATAATTCGACATATGAAACGGCTACACAAGGAAAATTAAATGTTCGGTTTGACTCTTTGTAGAATTTTTATGGGCTTGTTATTCTTTTTCAAAATCGTTTTCTTCCTACAAACATGATAAGGATAAAATAGACGTTGTTGAATATTTTCAATTGAAGAAGTGAAATTTAGAAGTTGACAGTTTAGCGCTGGACTTCTTCGCGAGTTGAAGTTTATCAAGCACTAGATGGCCGATGGCATTAAGAGCCCGCTTCCCGATCCTTCCCGGGAAGCGGGCTCTTAATGCCCGGTGAAGGCATTAGAATCCAAAAGCATCAAGACTCACCTTCCTTATCCATATCTGAAGAAGCGCCTTTGCGACATATCCCGCCTCGAAGAACCGGATCCTCCTCGCTGCAAAATGTAAATGATTTTTATCCCCCCCCCCCCCGCTTACCCAACTAAGATCCAGGAATGATTGGTAAGTTACTCCCCTTACATGAGTAAACAAATCAATAAACCGATAGAAGGACTCAGTGAATCGTCGCAAAAAGTAGCCTATCTTCTGCGTCTGGCCCCATTTATAGGGGAGCAATTTTCAGCCTCATTGGTTCACAAACAAAGGAGTCTATAAGCCACATACTTACATACGAACAAATTTACAGAGATTGAGTTTTATTTGTATATAGATTTCATTATTGTGAAGTTCTTTGCTTCCATCATTCTTAGCAATAAAGTTTTATATCCTCAAGAGACCTTGAGTTCTGTATTCAGCCCAAGAAAAGACGGACTTTGCAACAGAATGAGAATCTAGAGCAGCTTCCTCAAACATTATCGAGAATCTCAGCTTGTACGGTAACACGCCGTTCTCATTATGGTTTTGTAGGTTAGCATCCCCTGAATAAAGTTTACCTGAACAGGGTTACTGTCTGTTTTGAGCCATAGCAAAAACGCCCCTTATCTTACTCCTATCTTTCCATCAATATTCACTACTGGCTGGCTTACTCGGCTCCGCCCGGCCCTGTCAAAACACTATGATAAAGCTCCTATCCCTATTCCTGTACAATCTTTCTCTGTGCCCACTTCTATATACCAACTCCAACTACTTATTCCCGCTGTGGTAGTTATCACATGCTCACTTATCCTGTGCCAACTCCCAGCCCCGAAGCTCAGACTTTGCAAAAAATCGATAAAATCGATAAAATCGATATCGATCGATGACGAAAAATAGCCTGTGACACCCGCCGGGCCCCGAAGTGTATGTGTGCAAATTTGGTCCGGATCGGTTTAGAAATAAAATTTTCTACTAGGAACATACGTACAAACAGACATACAGACAAACAGGCATTCAGCTTTGTATATAAAGTAGAAGTGAGAAAATCTAACAGGAAACTTCGAACTTGGAAACAAAAGTTGAGATAATGTTGCTGCTTCAGCACTTAGACATCAAGGATTACTTCTGTTGAGAAACCTCTGGAGCGGACAGCAAACTGGAATCACAGTTTTTGAAAGCTCTGTTTGCCAACATCGTGGGAAAGATGAAAGAGTAAGAGAAAAAAACTCAAGGATTCTTATCAGAAAAATTTCTGAAATATTCATCGTAGTACTACTCTAGCTAATACATACCGTGCAAAAGTCACGCTAATTCTTTTCAAATTTTCAAAACCACATTGAGTTACGTGATGATTTTTGTGCTTTTCACTTTGTGTTTGTCTCGCGTTCTGGATTTTGTACTTTTTCGCCCCACTTTACATACAAAAAAAGAATCTATACAAAAGTGGAAATGATGAAAAATACGAATATACGTTTGTAAAATGTATACATATGCTTCCATAGCCCTCACAGTGTCCTAGGAATTCCCTGCGCTAATTCCCAACCGAAAAAATCCCACAAAATTCCTCCAACTCTAAAAATCCGATTAAGCGAATCAATTTTGTGACATTTTTTCTTTCCATTCCCTTCGGTTTCCTTGATGAACATCATTTGGAGTTAGTTGACAGTGATCAAAAACAGCGATTTGATCGCTGCTTACTGCTATAGCTTGCGGCCTTTCACCTTAATCTAAGTATCATTCGTCGTTTATTGCAAGGATAAATTTCTACTGTCGATTCTTTCCTCGCCTTGCTTCCACAAGTGGCACTCCAATTCGTTTTTTTTTCAGTAGAAATTTTCAAAATCGAAAATTCTCCAAAGCAACCTGAAGTGATAAAACTTACCAATGTTGGCATTGTAAAGCACCCTAAAGCATCTTTGCCAATCTGTAATCAACAACTGCCCTCATAACTGCCGGTATATGCTGCGTCGACGACACGGCGACATAGACTAGGCCATCCTTGATTGAAGGGCTCAAAAAAATTTTCAAAAGCAACTTGGTGCAAAAGTTCCTGAAAAACCAAAAAGAAGCAAGATACATGTAAATACTTGGTATAAGGAATGAAAATTTCCTAGAAGTTATTTTAAAAAGCACGTGATTATTGCATGTCCCAATGATTTGCATGACCTCCGGTAGGTACTTGAGATGGGAGTTTGAGAGAGGAAGTCACTTACCCGAAGGAGGTGCAAGCGAAATTTCGCCCCATGTCAAAAAGAAACGATGTACATGGAGGTTAATTCATTTCAACTTAAGCGTTATCTGCCAATTCAAAAAACTTTGAATGCACATGCACAGAAAATGTCTCAACGTTGAAGGAAATCAAAGATACTTCTATCACGCTCAAGCGAAAATTACAGATGTAAAAACCACTCCTTGCTACTGTACCTAGGGGTTTGTAACTATCCTGAATCACTTCTAGAGACACTTCATGATGTAACAAATGCAGTTCACAAATTGCAAAGAGTAAACAGGGAACTTGAAGGTGTTTCTACACTTTTTGAATGTGAGTTCGCTTTGCACTACTCTAGTCAGATAGCTTGAGTGCGTAAGAGCCAAAGGGAAGTAGAAGAAATTTTTTTTTGTTTTTTTGGTAAGCTTAGGTGCCATGCACGGTAAAGCTATTCGCCGCTCTTGCCAGAACAAAGTAGAAGCAATTTGGATTTACAGTTTTATGCGGAGCCTGGGGTATAAAAGCAAAGCGCCTTGCTGGTAAAGAACCACTAAATTCATAATCGACAGATTTTTAATGACGGCTACCGTTTTCCTTTCGTGAATCTTGGTGATGTAAAAGGAAATTCCTTCTGCATACAGGAGAAGGGCAAAAGGCAAACTAGCATTGCCTTCGACTTCTACAGTAAATATTCTGCACTCCGCATTCAGCTTCTGCTAAAAAGTCACAAATGTAGCAGATTTATAATTAGGTCGATGCATAATTCTTGCACCAAAATATTCGAAATCCTTTTACTTTCTCGAGCATCAATGAAATTTTCTGATTTGCTAGATAATAGAAAGAGTAAATTTTGCGCTTTCAAAAGGTTCTTGAGATGAAGTTCCTCGGAGGGGCATACGGCAGCGATTTAAACTGATTAAGAGATATACTCAAAAAGTGATTTTTCGATTTTTGGTTGCTGAAATTGCTACAGCGTCTACTAATTTTGAATTTATTTTTGGTCTTGGTTTTATGACCTATTCTTTTTGACTAGGAGAAGTTGGTAGTGTTTGATGTCTCTAGGAATAATGAATTTCGATTTTTCACAATCAAATTTGATTTTGTTTCATATTGATTTTCTGAAATATACTATAAAACACAACTTTTGATATACATAACCATGAGCATATTGTGTAAGTTGATTAGTTTAAGCATTTTTAAAGTGATTTTTTTCTATTTTTTTGTGCAAGAATTGTGCATCAACCTAATAAATAGCAAAAGCTTCATTTATGGATCTTTTTTGTTTATCAGATATTGACTGAAGCTACTGAGAATACTGCTTTGTAACTTGATAGTCTCTGTGATAACTCTATAATGATTCTTCAATGAAAACTCGGGTTTTTTTTTCAACACGAATCCAAATTATAAGAACAAGCAGAGATGTGTCCCCAACGACTGGTTTTTAGCTTTGATTCCTCGTTTCCTTTCAGAGCTCTCCGAGGATATTGTATGCCCGCTGTAGAATACTTCACTGACAAAGCAAACACTCATAAATCCACAATGAGAAACTCGTTACAATCTCAGAACAACCACTTACTGTTGGTTGTCTAGTTGATCGGGTGTGACAAAGGTGGAACTGCCATAGCATCGGTCTCTCTATCCATGTGCTTTACTGCGATTGTTCTAGATTTCCATAAACATCATAGTCATCGATTATTTGTACATCTTAGAGAATGTTAGAAAGTGTTGCACCCATTTTGCCTTAAAATATTGTTGATTGCATGTTTAACTTGAAAGACACTAACAACATATATCTCGGTCTAATTTTCGGGATACTCTTCGCCAAAATAGACTGAAAATGTATTTTTTCCCCTTTCTCTACAAAGATTTTCACAATGTATTACTTATCTATTATCAACTGAATAGATATTAACGAGGCTTTTGAAACTACAATATAACTATAAAATGTTAAGCAATTAATGCTATACCTTTGGAATTCTGGAACAAACTCGCACTAGGCTGAATTCTCTTATTTATTCTGGTACATTTTACTCACTCTTTCGACTAATTCAAAATAATTTATTGGTAAGCAGTCTGATATCAGCATTTGGGCCAACAATTCACCCCTCGCAACTCTTGCAACTTTTCACAGGATGCAATATGCTTTTATTTTTCTCAATTGCCGATCTCCCATAGGTGAAACTGTAATCTGAATCTGATTTCGTATCGGTGATGATATATTTTAGATTTACAGCCAGTAACTAGTGATCTTTTGGGCAAAATTTGCAAGAATAATAGTCCTTGTTAGCCTTTGGATAACTTCCAGTGCGTTGTTCTATTTGTAAGAAGTGTACAGCTAGTTAAGCCTGCTTGATAATTTCATCTACTCTTGTCTTTCTTTGCAAGATGTTCAATGGTTGTCATCAATGCCAATGACATGATTTTGAAGGCGGCGTCCAGGCAAGTCTGGACACATGGGGAGCTCACGTGGATAGTAATTTTGGGGCCCTAATTAACTGCCCAACACAGTCACAAGTCAGTCAGTCAATTCAGTCACTGCCCAACCGGCAGCTCAGGTAGTGCTCTAATGGCTGAGATATTCCCCTCAAAACTGGACCCCGCGATCGTATGCATGGGTTCATGGCAGTTTCGCGCCGATCCACCCTTTGCGCCATGAATCCATGCGGAATACGATCGCGGGATCCAGTTTTGAGGGGAATATCTCAGCCGTTAGAGCACTACCTGCGCTGCCGCTTGGGCAGTGCCTTAGTTAGGGCCCCAAAAGTATATATTCCACGTTAAATCCTCACAGGTCCAGATCTGCCTGGACGCGACCTTTAAACTGCCGTAGTGAGCATCGTTCAGGACTTTGTAACTTCTCCAAAAGGTTCATGTTGGTTTCGAAAGTGCATCACTTAGGGCCGCATGCATTAACATCCCCGCCGTGGTGGGTATCGCAGCTCAAATGAAAGCTTCATCTTGAGGCTCTGATTGTACGGATTACACGCTGTCCACCTATCCTGAAGTAATCTTACCATCCTTTACTATACACACATTGAACAGGGACTGAACAAGCCGCATATTCCAGTTTCTTTTGTATGATCCCCTGATGATCCCCGGTGGCCGACCGTCTTTCCTTCAAACTCATTTTTCCGTCTTCGAAGTTAACGAAAGCCTTCGTACTATTGTTCATCTAACCCGACAGTGCTAAGCATGTTGCTGATAAGAGCAAATGAGTTTTTGAAACATGGAATTTTCGATAAACCCAACTTTCCACCTGTGGATCACCGCAAATTTCATGGCTCCAAAACATCTTAAGAACAAGTCCTAATGTAAAAAGTCATGAAGTAGCCCAATTGCTGTGCAATATGCATATTTACAAAGATCACAATGGCAGTAAACTCACTCGTATTAAAAGACGGGGGGGGGGGGGGAGCAGTTACGAGAGAAAACATTAGTTTCATATTCAGAGAATATAGATTTAGTGACTCTAAAATTACAGCAATTACTTTTACAAATTTACTCGACAATACACAAGTTTTTGTTGCCTCTGCTCAACATGTCACAAATCGCTTGTAGACCTCTGTATGAGCATTGGAATATGATGTTCAAATTTCTCTAGAATACGATTCAACGTTAGCTTATGAAGCACTGGACGGAAGCGCTATGTGCTGCTCTAATCTACGCACTTCTTCAAACTACCGTCAGCCACAAAGAGCATGATAGTTACAAGCAACGTTCAGGAATGATGACTGAGGAAGATATAAAAGAATGGACAGCAGTGAGTCAAACTTTCAAAGGCTACGTCCGTATATGCTTGTCTTCAGTTTATGAAAATACTGCGAGACAGCTCGATGACAAAGGAGCAGAAGTTAGAAAAAGTTCAAGAAATACTCGAAAATAAGAGCCCAGGAAGTGCGGTAAGAACATTGATTTCTTATGTTGTTTGAGAATCTGGAGTATATCAGCCAGAATGTGGAAACAACTAATGTTTCCTATTTTTTGCTGTTGGCAGTGGTCGGGAATAAGCGGGTAAAGGAAATTTTTGGGAGGGGGAGGAAGAAAGCCACGGAGGGGGGGGGGGGGTGGGAGCACATCAAGACAGTTTTAATGCTAACGCCATGCCGCTGCATTCTTGGATCTCTATTCTCAATAAGAGTACAATATTTTCAAGCAAGAAAAAACGGGAGATCCGTTTGATCAAAATGACAGAGAATCTTCAAAATCTCTTCGACGGGATTTACCTGTTTTTGTAAAGTTTAGGAAATCTCTAAAATATTCACGAGTAGAGGCAATCCATTCCCCAACTCCGCAACTCTTCCATTCTTCCCTCCGCTGCTATCGCTGTCTGTGTCCCTTCTCTCCCTCCTCCCATCCCCTCCCCCCAAAAAAACCTAATATCTGTAAATGCACGTACTTCTCACTAGCGTGTGAAATACTGAATTTTGATGGTCATTTTGAAAACCCTGCAGAAAATCAAGCCAGATTCTTCTTTGATGCATGAAACACTATAAAAGACGTCAAAAAATACTTTAAAGAAGATTCGTTGGCTCGCAGAGTTTTCTTGATTTTGCATACATGCGCTGTAATGTGTGAACTTGCAGATTCAGTTGAGTAATGAAAAGCATAATTACGGATGAAAAGGTGATGACAATTTGACTTGGATTAAACCAGTTCAAACAATTTGGTCGGCTCTTGAGAAACCTTTTCAAGTAACAATTGGTAATCGCGCCTGATACCACCAAACCTTCATAAAATTCACAAGAAGTTTCAAAAAAAAAACATATTTGGAGTTGTAGCGTGATTGATGTTTTACTCCAGAGAGAAGCGCTTAAAGAAAGTTTATCCACTAGCCTGCTAGCAATCGAGCTCAATGATTGGCTGACAAATCAACTAAAGGAAGCCAGCCCAAATGTATGTAAGTTTACTTCAGTTCTAGATTCATTTTTACACTGTCGCACATTACTGGAAATGAAAAGATATGTCGTACAAAAGTGTAAAAAAGCAGTGCATCATTCACAGTATTATATTTGAGCTGACAAAAGCTCCTCGACCTTCTGTTTTCACGAAACAAAAGATGAGAAATGGGGTATAGGAACTATACAATAGACTTCTTCCTGCTAACTTGTGAATTTGTGGCTTTTTGCTCACTTATTTGTACTGAAGTAAAGAGAAATTATTGTACAACTATCTCACTGGAGCAGCAGTTGGATCAGAGCAAATTTTCTTTGCTAAATTTCCAATATAAATCACATCGTGTACTCTTTCCAAGTAAGAGACGTTTGTACTAATTGAAAATTTTGAGGAGATACATTATCCTTTGAGCGATTAGGTCGTCACCTTGGATAATCATAACCCCTTATGGGAAAAACAGACTCTTTTATTTGAGAAGAGCGATTCAGTCATAAAATATATGATCATCAGTGACAACTTTAGTGTCAACTATAATTTCAAAAAAAAACGTTCATGTTCTGGAAGCCACTTCATAATAGACCAACTCATACTAACCAAATGACTACAGGTACGAGATGTCTTTCACAAGATTTACGACATGCTTTGTGACGTGAATTTCATGAAGAAAAAGCAAGCCGAGAGAAGTGCTGAGGTGAGACATTAATCAAGTTCTGTAAGCCTTACCATGGATAGCAGTGTTTAAAATAATCCATGTACCTGGCATTTGTGTTTTTATCGATTGAGGGGCCACATTTGAGGCATTCAGCAGCAACTCTTATGTTCATGACAAAAAATCAATTATAGAAATCAAATATCAGAATAAAAACAATTATTACCGAACGCAATCGTAAATAAAGGGCATTGATAGACCTCGTCCAAAAGTACGGTAATGAGTAAAAGTTCCTAATTGTAGTTTTCGGCTGTCAAAGAATCATATGAGCTGCCATTTTGGTAATAACGTGTTCAGAGCTATCCTAGCAATTCTGTACAGAAAACCCACGTTAGTTCATATGATCACTGCCTATGGTAAAGTAAGAACATATTGCATTTGCAGTAATTTTGGCGTATTGTTGACGTAATGAGCAGTCAAGAAAAAAGACTACATAAGGGTCATAGCAGCTTGTATAGCTGGAGTGGTATTTTCGACCGCTCATCTAGGTGCAAAATTTTTATAAATAAATTCTGTAAAAACTGCACCTTTGATTATTGAACCCGCATCATGACTTACGATTCTCAGATGGGGCTAGATATTACTCTATATTCGTTTTAGGTCAAAGCACTGATGAGCAACCTCAACAACAAGGAGAAGAAAGAATTGTATAGGCTAGAACAGCTGCACAAGGTAAACATTTACCTTTTACAAAAGAAACAGAGGCCTTCGATTTAGAAGAAAGCTGAAGAGCTGGGTGTGCAAAAAGCGATATCACGAACGTAGAAAAGGTTTAGGAGAATACGTTTAGTACCGATAGTGATTGCTCGTGTATTACATTACTGCCTTCTAGGGAACCTTTACTGTATATTGTTGCATGATGTGCATAAAATCAAACTTTTTGAAAAATATATTTATTCTATAATGTAGATAAGGGACGCAATGTTGAGATAGCAGTCTTTTATCAGCATGTAACAATTTTTCTGAGACAAGCAAGCTCATGAACCTGCGATATCCCTGCCGTTTTTCAGCCTGAAAGTCAAGTACTTGGAGAAATTGGCAGGTACAAACTTACTCGTCGCGGTCCATTTTGTACCGGACTATTACATAAATAAGACCTGCCAAACACGCAAGAAACAACAACCAAGTAACAGCTATAAGCGCTTTGAAGACTCCCTAAACAAGAAAACTTTCCCAAATTGGGAAAGCGCTGGAATACTTTTGGTTTCCATAAATGATTACAAGATTAGGAGCAGGTTTTGTGGGAAGAGTAGCAATTTCTTTGCTTCCTAGTTTCTCTTTACTGTCTTTAGTGGGCTTTTCTTGACTTCCTAAAAGAATGGCTTCCCAGAGCAACCGTACAAAGTGCTGCAATTTTTGATATACCTGTTTTTTCCCTGAAAAAAAAAGATTTTTATGTGCGAATAGTGACTCATCTAGATAAGTCACACCAGCCTTGTTTTCTCTGCGGATTCCGTTCCAGTCGCTGGCTGAGGAAGCGGAGGCAAATTGAAGAATGGCGGCTCTTTCGAGTCCGTCATGTGTTACGGTAGAATGAACTGTGTCGAGACAGCCCTCCTTTGACACCAACACTCGTAAAAATGATTCATACTCTGACAGTGCAATGAAGATGAAGAAGCACTCAAAATATTTGTATTTGCTGCAGCCATAATCATTCTTCTCTCTCCTTCAGAGAGCCAAGTGTAAAAATAGTATTCGGAATTACTCCAATCTACTCTGCTAGAAATCCTTGCTTCAAAATGAAAAGAATTGGACTGGCGGTGATCGAAATAAGAGGACATTCCAGGTGTTCTGCAGACCTGCGTTCATACCTTACCCATATTCTGCTCTAACGGTGAAACAATGCCCTATTCGTAAAAGCACATCAGTAATCAGTTGTTCGCTGCCCAAAATCTTTTTACGTGGGCAGCGTCATCTGAGGAAAAGTTCAACTGGAAAACAAATTCACATTCGTAATCAAGCAACATCGTTGAATATTCTGAGTTCTTTGAACGGCAGGTAAGTTCGAATGGGTGAAGTGTCATCTGTTACTCCATTTAGCCGTTGTCCACGCATCTGTGTACCCTTCCAGACCAGATAGTAAAAAGCACTCCAGATTCTACGAAGCTGTACATAGTCTTAACCTATAAGAGGCGCGATTTTTTTACCAGATTTTTATTACCAATCTCAAAGTAAAACTTCAAATGTAAAAGGTCAAAAATTGAAATTGCAGCCAACACAAAATCTCAAATATTTCGGTCAGTTTTCCATGCAGAAGCCGTCAAACTCAGCGAGCGGTAACTTTCAACATTAGTGAAAAGCACTTCGTCTGCTAATTTTAGAAGACATCTAAAGCTGAACTGGAGTTTTGATTTGGTGATGTCTTAGAAATCACTCCTCTTGACCGCCTCCCGTCTTGTTCTCAGCTTTCAGAATTGTGACTGATAAAAATTTCAATAAAATTTTCTATTAACAAAGTTATCTCAATCCAAAACGTCAATAGTAGTCTATCAATTATCTTGTCTTTGTACCATCAGGTTTATTAAACGTACTTCGATATTTTATGACTTGAAGGAGTTTTAGGTAATTTGCCAACCTTTCTGCACGATATACTTTGCATGATATGCCTATCGCTGAGAACGACTGCATTGTCTGGCAACAAACAATTTGATAAACTATCAATTGGGATGAGTTCATTTCTAGAAGCCAAAACGTCTGCTTCGGACGTATCCAGGAGAATATATGCCCAGCAAGCTGATCATAAATTAGGTCTAGTACCTTGCTGCAACTCATTTAATTTCGTGAAAAAGATTTTCAAATCCCAAAAGTATTAGGTTGAACACTAAGTTTTGCAACTGGTCTCATAACTTCCCTCTCACTCAACATGGTGCACTCAAATTTTGTCACTGTGTTGGTTATTATGTAAGCTACAAGCGCAGCTGCTGTCCTACCAAATTCTGACGTCGCAGCGAGGGTTACGGTAGGTGCATGGTATAAAGGGGAAAAATTCAAAGTTTGACGAATTTGGCTGAAACTTGGCATAGGGGTGTTATCCGACATGCTGATCACGAAAACGATAGTGAAATTGCGTGATAAGGGCTTTTTTGTAGGGTTACTGTAGGTGTACGATATGGGGTCTTACCCTAAACAATGAAAGAGGCGTTGGTTTAACAAATGAGTATGATATTCGTGTTTAGCAGGCCAAATAACCTCAATATGTAAAGTTTCGGTGGAATTTGAGCTTCGGACTCTTTTTCTTTGACGGTCGTCCCCAGCAGCTCTTGCGTACATCGACTCGTTCGAGTTTATGAGGACGCCAAATCTCGACATGTTCCTAAATTTTGTGTCTTTCTTACTAGGCCAAAGGAGTCAACCTCCAGCAATAATTTGTAGACGAATCCGGATTACTGCGCATAGTCTAGGCTGCCAAAGGCTTCATTTTAGCTTGAAACCCCAAAAATTCACAGATTTCACTAGTTTTCGAAAAATGCCTGAAACTTTTCTATTTCGTGTTCAAAATTCAGACAATTTGGGCTCTCTTGTAGCTCACATTGCATTCTACATGATGCCAAAGTTTGAGTGCGCCATGTTGAATGGGAGTGAAGTTATCAAACAAGTTGCAAAACTTAGTGTTCAACCTAATAAATGGTTCGCCACTGTTTTATCCGTATAATAGCGGGCTAAGGCTGTTCTTCTTGCCTGTCTGTGGGTCTGTCTGTCATGAAATTCAAAGCAAGCAAGTGCAGCCACTCTCAGGGGCTAAATTGTTTCATGCACAAGGAAGAGGGGATTCGATGCATGCTTTCTAAAAAGTTGCAATTCAGACCAGGCGGATTTCGGGCCGGAAAATGAAGCTGGTATCTGAACTTTTTGCAATGTCACGGATTTGTTTGCTAAATCTGCAAGTAATGCTTTTTAGCCCATGCAGACCTCAGACAGTCTATTTTTGACAAAGTTGCGCCAAAAAGGAATGACCGCGTAGATTGTTGATCAAACAAGCTTTACCTAAAAAATCAAAAAGATTTTGCTCACAGATGTGGCCTACGTTTTTCGATTCCTTATGCAACTATAGCCAAAGTTTTCAATTACAAATTTGCATTTGTTCTGCTGCAGAAAAGTTTCGACGACGCAAAATTGTCAATTTAACGTGGAGAGGATTAGTATCTCACATTCCTGACAACGAATGCTGAAATTCAAGTTGACAGTGTTCTTTTCAATGACAGGGAAACGAAATCTGAGACTCTGCGAAGAGTATGATATCGGAATCTACAAAATGGTTCTACAAACCATTCACTGCAAGACTGACTACTTTTCTCAAAAAGCTGTGTGTAGCTCCAGTTTTTAAGTTTTCCGGAGCTCTCACCATAGTTTAGCACGACGAAAAGGCTCAGAGAAAGCATAAAGCGACCGAAAGGCATTGCTCTTGCTACAGAAGAAGAGCATTTCACTTTTTAACTGCTTAATAAATCAGTTCGTAGTCCCTGAAAATAATTTTGCCTACAAACATGGCTATTAATATGTGCAAAATTTTCCCACACTAAATGCCATATTTTAATTGAAAAATAAGAGATCCCGTTTAAATTACAACGACTTTGCAACAAGCAGGTGTCTCCTATCAGGTAAGATAGCTCATGAGAATCAGGAACCTAATATTCTCAAAATGTTTTTCCATGCCTGTGTAAAATGTACTCATAAAACACTTGATTCGTAATATTCATTCATGAGTCATGCGAGATTGATCAGGGAATAATATCGAGAAAAAACCGTATGATATGTGTAACTAGTAAATGACCTTGAGAAGGTCGTATATGATCTAACGTACATATTAAAAAAAAATAGAGTAAAAGCATAAGTCATGAGAGTGCTTCGAGTTTTCGAACGAAAAAGAAATGAAACGTCATTGCGGGTATATCACACGAATAACCTAATATGCTGGCAATAAAACATCTGAATCTTTTACATGGTTCAGAGAAAAATAATGAACAACTAACAACCTGCGATCGGTACAGATAAGTAGTATACATGGCGACGATTGTGGAATGAGCTTCGAAGTGCACATCTGGTAGTATTCGACCTCTCAATTGTAGCAAATTGAGCGAATAAAGGCATGCGAATAAAGTGAATGCTTGAAAATAATTCACAAAAGATATGCAGAATGGCACTGCACTTTATATACGGAGACATGGGTACAGAACGAGGAAAACAATGGGATACAGAGTAAAGCCACAGACAAAAGACGAAATTGGTAATGCTGCAGATCAGGTCTTGATCACAGCGGGAGAAGCCAAATTATTATTGCGTTTGGGAATGATTCCACGATCCACAAAGTTTTCGCTGGATCGCAAATTCTCCCTCAATTGACTCAAGCGATCAATGACCTCTTGCTGCTTTTCCGTGGTTTTCTTCATGTTGAACGAACGAAAATTGGGATTCTGAACGGGAATAACTCACTTCAAACAAAAAGGCAAAGTCCAAATCTAGCAAATTTGAGGACTGATATGGTGCCTTGTGGAAAAATAGCCTTAGCTTTAGTGACGACAGCGCAAAAAAGATATAGAGCGCATATCTTCAAGTTTTGCGCCACATGGGCGTTTTACACGCACAACCGTTGTCGACACCGCATGGGCACATACTACTCGCCAAGTCTATCAAATGCACTCAAACTCACCATGCTTCTGAAGCGGCTTAGATTTGGAGTGTCTGCAAGGTTCACAGCAGAACCCCGCCAGCCAGCAAGATTTCCTATGGATCCGCGCAGAGATTGCATGGAAGGTGCACGGCTTAGATTTTCTTCAACTTTACGACGTACTTCTGGCGAAAGGGCATCCTACAAACTTGCCGATCAATCTCATTGTGGTAAGCTTGATGAACAACGCATACCGTAGAATGATTTATGCATCCTTTTTCCACCAATTTCCTTGTAAAAGACGAGGTTTTGGACATTGGACCGAGATAAGCAGCGGGCGTGCTGATAGTACTGCGAACCTAAACAACGAACTGGAAATTCGCAGCATGTCAAAGCAAACAAGACGTTTGCTAATCTCCATGATGATTCACCAAAGATGACGTTACCAGAAAAATCATAGGTTTTTATCAGTGAGCTGGAAAATCACCAACTAGATTCTTCCGACTGCAGCTGCATACCATACTATAGCGGAGACTGTCCACACTTGCAATATGCAGCTGCAGTCAGAAGAAGCTACTTGGTGACATTCCAATACAATCAAAAAAAGCATATGAAACAAAAATTAGACAGAAGAATGAAATGACATGGCAATGCATTTCCGAAGTGGGTAAAAGAGCGCTAAATCAAATGTACAGTCGAAATGGCAAAAAATATGGCGCCGACTGATAATTGTATTAGCTAAGAGCGCGAATTTTGATTAAACGTAAAATTGGTGGACAAAACAAAAGAGAAAATGAGAATGTGAAAGGAGAACCAACCTTTAGTTCGTTATTGTTATGTGTGGTAACGGTTTTCGTAACTCCTTGTAGATCATGGGATACGACCGCGGGAAGTGGAGATGAGCTGCAAAATATAAATTGAAATTTTGTTGAATCTCCTGTGTTCTACAAGGTGAACTGTGACTCACGCTAAATCTTGCGGGCTATCGCAGCCAGAGCTACAATTTCCTTCATTGCTTTCCGTTGATCCACTACTTCCTGCAGAATCCACGTTGACTGGGGAATCTGAGAGGCCGCGCATTCTGCTGGGACGTCGACGAGTAGCAACTGGCGAGAACAGCGGATTCTGTAATTGATTCATTTACAAACGGGAGTTGTAACCGGTCTTGGGCAACTTGGACTTCCGCCTCGTCCATGATCATTATCTTTTTGCAGGATTAGAAAATTATGATGGGAAACTAAACCTGCGGAAATGATGAGAGCTAGCTTGGAATGATGCTGAGACAAAAGAGGTATTCGGCACACTGATAAGCGAAGTATGATCTAATCAGGCTTCCGCAAAAAGTGTGCAAGCAAGAATGAGTGCAGAAAATCAAAGAAAACTTGAGCAAAACAGTGTCCACTAGATTTTGACAGAGAAATAGATGATTCTCGCACTTGGCGCGCACTCTTTTACCCATTTTGCGGTCAAAAGAGTATCGATTCTACACAGTGGTCAACAGGTGATATATCACAATAGCAATAATGCTTTCTGTCCTTGACTAAAAAAGATGGGACAAAGTCGGGAGCACAAATTTCCCAAACCAATAAAAATTGGCAAGGCAACACATTTCGCAATAGTGAAGAATGTGCTCTTATTGACAGCTAGCAAACAATCTATTATCTTTTGATTCGGAACTAGTACGGGCAAAAAACAGCTGCTACCTGCAGTGGCTAGTGTATATTTGGACAGTTTGACTATACGATGGTTATAAAACAATGTTTTTATCACTAACTCCCAATTTGTACAGAATGTTTGCCGATGTTCTCACCGACTTGAAAAGGCTTTTTTGACCATTATATGCGGAATTATCAGCAGCATGAAAAGAAAAAATTTCAGTTAAATTGAGCTAATCGGGGGCGAACAAATTCGACACAATGCTCACACTATTGCAATGCCAAAGGCGTTCCATAAAGCTGTGTAGGACAAAATCATAATATGAACGCAGACGAAAGCAAATACATGCAAAACAGTCAAATTGATCGTTTCAGACAAGCTTTAGTGAAGAACTATGAAAATAACATGCAATACCAAATTATCGCGCAAAATCCCTTTTATTTTTGGCCAAACTAGCCCTGATACTTCCCACACCTCTACCATGAAACCAAACAGAACGATGATAAGCTTGTTTGTCATCACCATAACATGGCAGACAACTTCATAAAAGAACGATTGAGCCGTATTGCTAAAGGACTAACTCTTCTAAACGCTTCCCCATTGTAACAATTGGCATTGAGACCGCCGCCGATACACTAGAAGGCCGGCCATCAACGCGAAAACACAGCTCGTGTCGAGATTTGCGCCGTAATAAACTGCTGTAAGCAGTTCTACAGCTATATAACGACTGCGATTTATGGAGGTATTTGCAAACAGATAAACAGCTGCCTCGAAATCGTAGCTGTGCGAAAAAGAACCAGTTAAAAGAATGGAGAAGTGCTATTTACAGCTGCTGTCGCCCACTTGACAGTGATTACTCAATTTACGAGGTCATTCTATACGTATACGATCACTAGATTTAGCTGAACAAATATACAGTACATGTCAAAAGACAAAACAGGAGTGCGTGGGATGACTCTCTTTCCCATATAATTGCCCCTAATTATCTCATTGTCAGAGCTAAAATACTACGTATGTTTTTCCCTATTGTTGCGCAGCCCGCTAAAAGTTGAAATTTTGTTTTTGATGGATGCAGTAACAAGGCCCCTAGGACCGAACAAGTCCTGCTGCAAAAGTGGAATCCCGAGGTGAGAAAATCGCTCCAGAAGGCAGATAAAGCAAAGGCCAGACATCCCACCGACGTGGGTGTACTGAAGGTAACGAGTCCGATACGAGGCATCAGAGTGAGTACTTAGTCGAGACCTATTTTCACAATCAAAAGCGGATTTCCGACGCCATTAGTTAAATTCGAGTGACTCATTACCCTCAGGAACTCACGCTGATAGGACGTCGTTGCAAGGGAATTTTGGCCATTACCTAGAGGGCAGTTAATGTAACGCATGAAATTCACTCATCTCAGACTTGAGTGGCTAAAATGAGTAGGGAACTTCGTCCCACTTACATCTAGGGCCCAGTTCTTACCAGAAATTTATACAATACTCATATGTCAGTTTTCTGAACTTCATGTATTTTTCTCCACAATATTAAAACCGTAGTCACTTTGTCATAGCATCGGTTAAACCATATATGTTTCGTTGTAAATCACGTTTCAGTGCGGTAGGATTAACAATTTTGATCATGCTGCATTCATTCTGTGAATATTAGGGAGGTTCTAAACACTGTTCAATAATCAAAAATTCATTATGTGAAATGATCCCGTTATGCTTAATAAGTAGACTAATCAATTCCAAATATGCCAAAAAATAGAAAATGAAAAAAAAGAATGGCATAAAAAAGATAAAGTTTATATATTAGAAGGCCTATCGCGGTAAACGAAGATAAGTAACTATATATACCAGGTAGTACCGACATGGAATTCACAACTCACATAAAAGTGAGACTGAGAAGATACAAAAGCGTAGAACGCCCTTCAGAGGGTCTCTCTCTCTACACCTGTGTGGGAGGAGCTGTAGTATGCTATCGCATGGTACGAACACATAAAGGTGAATCATTGCGAAAGCGAATGCTTTCCCAAGGCAGCAGCTAACTATGACTGAGCTAACACGCGTGTATTTACTCTATCTATCTAGCTCAATGCAACCGCAAACGCTAAAGCTGGCAAAAAAAAAGCATGCTACAGCCTAGAGTATGGGGTTAAAAATAGCTCGGGAGTATGCCTGCCACCGCGAAAAAATCCAAGTTGAAGTACAGTGAAGTGTAGGATTTCTTGCAAAGCAAAAAGCTTGCGCTAAGAATCATGTCTGCAGTGGAATTCTCTCGGTTGTCCTCGATAAGCGCTGACATAGATCGTCAAATTAACACCTTCAAAAAGAATGCTAATGCATACTTAAGACACAGGGAGTGATGCATCAGAAAATGTCATGCCCAGCTGCATTCATTTTTGTTTCGAAAAGCATAAAATCACAAATCAAATCAAATCCCATGCCGAAAAATTTGCATTTTCCCCCTCGAGCAATATTTGCTAAATCAACTCCGTCAGGCAGTAGCAACGTCAATTCACAGCCCCTCAAATGTGCTCCTCCAATTGCAAAAGCAATACGAGAAGCCTAAGTGCCAATAAATATCCGTTACTAGAAACAAGTAAGAGAGAAAAATACTGGAAAAGTATAAAATCGTTTGACACGACCAATACAGCGCCAATTCAGAAACCTCAGAGTTTGTAGCAAAGCTGATAATTCTTGGAAATTAAGTAGACTGATCCAAATGGAGAAAAAAACAAAGAAAAGAATGCTACCTGTTGCTCTTACGCACCAGAGCATTTCTCCAGTAATTAGAAAAAATTGTTGGAAAACAAAAATGATAAAAGCACTGAAGAGGTTGAGAGGACGACAACTCGATAGTTTGATTTCGCCTTTCCAAAAAACTTCAAAGGAAGAAGCCGCAGGTTACCTGGTGATCGACCATTGAAAGAAAATGGGGTGATAGATAAAAGGTAGATGAGATCAATTTAGAAACACATGCTGTAAGCACATGCATAACGAGTACAGTGCTTCAAAATCACGTGTTCTCAAAAGTTATGTGAACCAAAACGGGACTGAGCCAATAAATGGCGATTCCGTTACCGTATTTGATGTGCGAAGGACATGCGAACTAAAAACTACAAAGACGTCAACTGCTGGTTTTATGAGATGTAATGCAATAAATGGAAGAATCTATGTGCAAGAAATTCATAAATCTGCGATAAAAGCAATAGATCGTCATACACACCCTCGCTTTAGTTTTTCAGTGATACAGTAACATGAGAAATAACCGGATTGATAGATTCCGCCTCTTCTGCAAAAGCCTGACAGCAGGATGAGATCTGGTACTTGGGATTTGATAGGTTAGAAAGTGGAAATTCGTGCATATTTTGCTCTCGCTGATCACATTCCAAAAAGGAGCAAGCTGGCGGTAACGTCAGCGAAATTCGGCCGAGCGCGAGCGATTGTAAATAACCTTGATTAGCAATCTGTGATCGTCTCGAAATGCATTCCATGAATGGCTTAGAATTTTGCTGAACACGGATAACTTAATGTGCTTACACTCAATGAATGCACATAAGAAGGGCGGCGTATCAGGATCCTCAAAGGCTCGCCGCTTCTTCTCCAGGCGCGCCCGTGGGAGGTAATATTTGGAGGATCCTGTACGCCCTCACATAAGAAGCACAGGAGGAAAACGAAAGTGGAAAAAGAGGAAAAGCGATGAGTTGAAGAAAAGCGATTGTAAATAAAAAATCGTTTCTATCGATAGGGTCACTATTACTATACAATGAACAACGGAGAGAAAAGAAGGCAAAATTATGTGATAAGGAAGAGATAAATCTTATGAGCCACAAGAATAAAAGCAATTCGTCTAGCAAAACCATGCACTAAGCTGATAAGCACATGTTCTATATTTCTAATCTGTAGAAGCTGCACCAAAGGCTACAAAGCAGGCAAAGCTAGAAACCGTATCAAGATCTTGCCAACAAAAAGACCTGTCACCAGCATTCTAGACAAGCAAGAGATTTTGTGATCAGCACATAGAATCAAAACTAATTTTGCAAATTATGCTCAGCATCTGAGGACTCGAATATTTGTTCGCATCTCCCACGCAGTACAACCTAACACAGAGTCAACTGATTCATCGAAAGTACGTAATGTGTAGATTTGTCATCAACTGACCGCATTCTCGCTATTTTCGGGACAAACCTCACCCACTCCCATTAGTGCAAATGAACTAATGTGGTTTGAATTCAGAGCGAGTATAAAAACAGCTGAGTACACACGAAAGTAGAAAGAGACTGCAAACTTACATCGGCAATATTCTTGGATGTTGGTGGTAAAGCGACTGGCCGAGTAACAACCTGAAATAAAGAGGGAGCAGTTGAAGTTTGAAATAAATGTATCAACGACGGGCAACTTGTGAGCAAAATTAGTCAAGTAGACGCCACTCAAACTCTTGAGCAAACAATGAACGTTTTATCATAACTGCAGGACGGAACCATTTTACTGTTATCTACACGGTCAGAGCTTAATCCTGACTCAGCGTCCCCATAACAGGAACTTGGAAAATGCAAAAGGTTCATACGTTGCCATTCTTTTTTTGCACTGATTACATCTCGACTAAAGTGATAGAAAGAGCCTCAAGAAGTCCTATTTGAAGAAAATGTATTTCACTAAAATTGGACTCAAGTGCAAACCTCTCATCCTTATCTTACTTCGCATGCTTCTAAATTTTATGCTCAGCGTCTCTAGTCCAAAGTCAGAAAAAGATTACTTAAAAGGCTGATGCAAAGACTTATTTACAGTTTAGCTCTGACCATATAGCAAATGCAAATATCCGAGAACAACTTACTATGGAGCAATATTTGGGTTCAAAATCGGTGTCCCTCCTTGGCAAATGATTGGCGTTTTTCAGCGGTTGAGGAGGACGGGCTACTTGCCGATGACCACTAAAAACACATAAGTTGCGATAGATGTATAAAAAAAGCAAAGATATATGAATGCAGTGCTTGGTGACATTTAACTGCAAGCAAACGAAACGATGATGATAACATCAAAATCAGTGCAGACAGCTAGCAGACGATCGACAAGATTTGAAAATTTAGATTAGATCAAGCACTCACCCTCTCGTAGCACTTGTAACAGGTGTGGCAACCGGAATTTTCGAAGGCAACATTGCTTGATCTCGGTGCTGAGGGCTTGGGGTGTTTTGAGCTGCTCCGCTGGAATAAAACAGATTGAGAAAGCAATCTCCATAAATAAGATAAAAGAGAGAATTGCACACATGGAACTCAAATCAGCACCCTAGGACAATGGGAAATTTTGAAAATTCTCTTTATTCAAGCTTTGCAGAATGAGAAGTGTAAGTGTGGCGACTCCCGGCTCCGGCCAGATGGGCAATGAGCGATCTTATAAATTCGACCAGCAAAAAAACCATTACGAATGACATATCAGAAGCGGAATCAAATTCATAAAATTGCGACCGTCTTCGGCCTTAGAATGCAACATTACGGTGTTGGATTGATTTTGGAGCAATGAGTCAGCTTACATAATCGGGAATACGAAAAGTTCAGCAGTAGAAAGTTGTGACAACTCGTAAGCCGTTGGATAGCTCTTCTTGACTTGCTCATTAATTTCTATGAAACAAAGACTATATGAATTCTCTTGCATAAGAATATTTTTCGATTTTTACTTAATGATGACAACTAAGCACGTCTGCCAATCTCTGTGTGTGATCATTACTATGTCCAAAAAAGGAGACATTGTAAGGTTCTTCAGATTTTCGCTTCTCTCTCGCCTGCAGCTTACATGCCATACTGTCCATTTGGTGAAATCAAAATTGCTCAGAGATGTTAATTGCGAAGAAAGTTCTAATCATTCAAGCTAGAGAACCTGCTAGGACAGAACTTGGGCAACTTAGTATACACCTCGTTATTAGCAAATATAAATGAGATGGAATTTTTCGCCTTTTTTTGAAATATCGAATTTCCAAAGGGATATTTAGCACTGAAAACTATTGTGAGGAAAAGAAGTGAAAATGTTGTTGCGATTCAGAAGAACAGAAATCGCATGACTATGAAGATGTTGAATTAACAACAAGATTTTGGCTTGGAAAAGTTGACAGGCTATGTGAATATTCTGGAGAAGAATAAACAAATCGCAAAGGGAGAACTAATCAAAACTTTAGGCTTGTAAGTGTCTAAACTTCATATTGAGAGTATTTCCAAATATTTTGTAACAACTCAACAGATATAAAACTGCATAAAACCATTGAGGCCAGATTAATGACTCAAAATATACGCACCCTAATGACTCATGCTGCCAGATGTCTGTGCTTAATCTCATATCCCAGACACCTGAAGAAACGTCGCAATCACCTTTAAAGAGGTCTTAATATAAGAATGAAGGCAGCCGCAATCAGTGAAGAAAGATGAGACTATAGCCGAGATTCTCACAGCGTTTGAATATGTGAGCAGCGTTACGGCGCAATCTTCGTCGCATTTGAATATGTTGCGCATGGCATTAGCGTATCGACGGATTACTAAGCTATGACGACAAGCGCCTAACAAATCACCCACTCAGTCTTTCATCACCAACACACATTCGAAACCATGCATTTACTCCAATTTCTATTAAAAAAATATCTCTGACCATAAAAAACCTGGGTAATAGGTACAGGATCCAGCATTCAGCCCCACTTTGGATAGATCTTGTAAAGATGAGTTTCATCTCCAAAACACGATGTGGTCCCAAGTACATGACCAATGTTGATTTCAAGGTATACAAGTAAACCAAAAACTGCATAACTCGAAAACCTGACCTATAAACACCAATGTATAAATCACCACCTTCGGCTTATCGATCAGGGTTATCTGTGCGCGAATACGTATGTCCTAAGCGATAGTGCCAATATTTCTAGAGGACTAGCGTACTCAAAAAATCAATATTAAATTTCGATATCCGACAATTTTGAGAAAGTTTCAGGAGGTGACTGCAAAAGTGCTACTCTGTGATAACCCTCGACGAGCATACTGCCAAGAATCATGAGAACTGCATCATCATCACATCATCAACATCATGTCAGTGAATAAAAAGAAGAGTAAGTAGAAAACTATTGTTTTCATTACTTAATGTAACGATATCGCATAATTAAATCGGAACAGTCACATTTTTCAAAAGTGAAAATATAAACCAGCAGATCAAGCGACTATTATACAATCAAATAAAGATGCTGCTTTGAAAGGCAGAAATAATTTAGATTATTGAACTGGATTCGGGCAATAAATCACAAAATTGAAAATCAGTATTGCTGCCCACTACATGCATGTTAGCTGTTCAAAAGATTGCCGACTGCTCCGTCAATGCAAGTCAAACATTTTCTTATAAGTATAACATTTCAGTGCAGCAGCTAACTAGCGTGAGCGATTGGATTGCATCAAAAAGGGTAAGTGTTGTATCGAGTGGAGGACTAACGAGGGAAAAAGACTCATTCAACCCTATGGGTGGTCTGCTAGATAATTCAAATAAGAAACGGTTAAGCAGAGCACAAAATAGCAGGTAAAAACAGGCGTCTATAGCTCTATATAAGCCCTATATAAGGATGTTGACAAATGCGCATTGAAATGTGAGACAAATTTGAACTTTACCGCTGAAGCAGCACTAGAAAATTTCTATCGCAACGAATATTTAGCTAGTTCCAGTAAGTTCAAGCGCTTTGTTTTATAAAAAAAAATCAAATTATTCGTTTTCAAGATCGAATTTATGAATTCTGGTGCAATCGCAGAGCTGCGGCAAAAGCTTTCGTGACATGATAGTTGCAATGTTGCAGAACTCAGCGGATATCTTCGTTGCTCAGCAAAAAAAAGCAAGGGCAGAAGCTTGCTTTATCTACGGGAACGTTTCGGCGGCGAAAGAAGTAAAACATGAACATTGCCATAGGTGTGTGCAATGAATCGTCTCCTTCTCAATAGTTATGCCGAAAATTATGGGTTATAAAGTGTGCAATGACTAGTCTATTCTTATAAATAATTAGAATAGTTTTTTAATTTTTTTTAAAAATTCACCGCATATACAGGGAGTCCCAAAAAATGTTAACACTGTTCGATCTTTGATAACTCCCTTGCTTTCATGTCTTTCGCCGAGCTTTAGGTGCCATTCTGTAAAGCTAGGTTCAACTTAGATCTGCAGTATGGAGCAAATCATCAATTTCTTTTCATGTAGGATTACGGTAGGAACTTCGACATGGATTTTAGGTCATTGGAGGCCATATTCTGCCTCGAAACAAAACCAAACAAGCCAGAAACTCTTATACTGTGGTAATGGAAATCGCTGATTTTGAATATGAAGTTTACACTTTACTGTGATGCTTCTTTCCTAGGCTTTCCCTGGTAAACCGTAATAACTGAATCTCCAGCATTTGTCAGAAATGTGATTACACCGTTAAAAAGTTAAAAGCCCTTGTAAAAAGTTGTGTAGTGGAATCAGCTTGCGCGAAAACTCTTATATACGATTTTTCAAATTTTTTGAAAAAATTTTTGTCGAATGGCGTATTTCACAATGGATGCACATGCTAGAAGTTCATACCGTAATCCTGCAGTAACGAAAAGCAAACGGTGATTCGCTCCATACTACAATTCAAAGTTCAAACTCGCTCTACAGAATGGTGCTTCAAGCTCGGTGAAAGACATGAAAACAACGAAGTTATTAACGATCAAACAGTGTTAACATTTTTTAAGACACACTGTATTAGGTGACACATAAGTTTTGCAACATGTTCCATAACCATTGTGTTTTTTAATGTGGCCATTTCATTTTTTGATATATTGTAGACTAGAGAGTGCGCAACGACTCCGCACACGTATTTTTTCTGGTGGCGAAATGGCAAAATTTTGCTCAATCACAGAGACATGGTAATATCAGAATCATCACTGCAAAAACAAAAATGAAGCCGTTTTCAACTTGCATCAAACGTACCAAGAGGAAACTTTGCAGAGATGGTTGCTACACACACATAATCTATAGTTTCGACTCGATGCCTTTGATGCGGATGAGAACGACTTTTGTTTTTAGCCCTGTGAAATTTCTGATTTGGTCAGCTTTCGGAAACGCAAAATTTTTCCATTTCGAAACCGGTAACAAAACTGATTTGCCAACATAATAAAACCAGACCTTATATCTTGCCAGAATCGCACTTTGTCTTTCTATAAAACAAAAAGCAAAACCCTCCCTGGCTTCTCAGTCTCGAACTGTCAAAAATGATTTGAAGATACGAGTAATGAATGATGTAGACACTAGCGTACTTTAGTGCCGTAAGAAAATGCATCATCCATCTGCATCAACAACCCGAAAATATTTGATTATCAAGGCGGGATAGCGAAGGAGCAGAGGTGCGCCGAGAATTCTTCTGATTGAGGAAGAGAGGCTTTCCGCAAACATGAGAAGCTTTCCTGCTCTCGTTTTGAAATAAAACTTTTTTACTAGAATTCATTGTGTTACTTCCCAAAAATTCTCCTGCTTTATGTGAGCTAAATATTCCGAGGTTTACTAACCGTGTTGCAATTCGATAAGAGTCATCCAGCGGCGAATTTTCCTTTTCTCTTTTCGTCACTCTTACAGACATCCTCCCCGGAGCAGTTCTGCGTAAAGGTGTGGATGTATTTGTATTTACAGCTTGTCGCATTTCTGAACTATTCAAGTGAGAAGAAAGCGAATGAGGAATTGCCCACACTAATCAAGCGTAAATTAATTGATTTAAACCTCGTTGCTGTGATTCCGGGACAACTTTGCGATCGTCTGACATAAATGGTCGGATAGAAGCGGTCTGCTTTCCAGATGGCGTTTCCCTGCGCGAATCAGCTGCAGTCATCGACTCGGACAATGACTGACTTCGTGTTTTTGGAACACTCTAAAGAGAAGATCTGCAAATGCGGTGTGTTTCGATGAAAAGACTAACTCTTGATCGCTGCCCAGTAGGCGAATCCCCACTATGTTCACTTCTTCCACTTCTGGGTGGTTTTGCAAACGATTCTTGTTCTAGTTTCTTGTGTCTCTCAAGTTGAGAAATCTGAAAAAGTACACAATTCCACTGCAGAAAAAATATCACGTCAAGACATACTTCTTGAAGAATCCTGTCGCCAGTCTCGGGATCAACACCTAACAAGCGCCTTTCCAGCTCAGGACTTTTCTGAGGACCATCAAGAACATGCTTGAATACTCGGGCTTTTCTGGTGACTTCGGCCTCTCTTTTAGCACGTTCCAATGCCTCTTCCAGGGTTTGCCGAACGCGTTCCCTTCCCTGCAGAATACTTCGTTGAAAAAATGCAAAATCCAAATTTACGTCATTCTTCTCTTGTACATATTGCAGCTTCGTGAAGCCAAATATAAACAATTGAAGATAGAAGATTTATCACTTCGAATACTAGGTATGAAGATCACTCACAAGGTGTTGCATTTGGGGAGATTTTCTTGCAACAGAACACATTTGCGACCGTATAGTATGTATAATACCGCTCATAATTTATGCAAAAAAAGACGCGATGGTCACCCAAGTTAGGTGACAGCACCGTAGCGTGGCCATATATCGCTTCAGAGTGGACGAGATCTGGAATCCGAGGGCAACATTCGACTCACCTCGGCGAGGCGCATCTTCTGATATATAGGGTGCCCGTTTGATTACAATAGCACGGTAGGTAGCCAAATTTCGCAAATCTTTTTGGATTTCAGGGTCACTCAGGGTGCTTTTATTGCACGCTGACTAATCTACCGTAACAAAACTTGTATTTATTCGTGAGTTATGGCTACCCTATCGTGAACATACCGTATTCAAACAGGCGCCTCTATGTCAAAAGATGCACCTTATGCAACTGAATTGAACGGTGCCCTTGGATTTTGTTTTCCCAGCCTGGATCGAGATATGGTCACACTACGGTGAGGACGCCTAACTCAGGTGACCGTCGCGTCTTTTTTTGCAGAAAATATGAGTGGTATTGCACAAAACGAAAGAATTTTTTCTTGCCATCCATTGTCAAGGAAAGCTAAAAATGTGAACGTGAACATTCTCCCTATGCGTTATCAACGAATCACTCAAATTTTTTTGGTGGAAGAAACGGAAAGGATAAAAAACGCATTAAAGCTATTTTTAGCCTGCGACCAATAGTTCCAGACCCTGTGATCAAGAAGGTAATTATACACACCTTATACGAGGACTGATTATGTTGGATATGTGCAATCGCATTGTACAAAATGTCGAAGTTCGTGTAATTCCGACAAAATGTTTTTTATGCAATCTGAATGCCCCGGATACTCCCTCTGACAAGGGAAGGATGGTTGGTCGGAGTGAGGTAAGATGCATGCCGTTCTGGAGAGCATAAAACGCTGATTCCAAATCTGTCTTCCATATCTGCGGAGCATTCATGAGCGAGCAGTCATGGGTTTACTAAGCAAAACTTGGCGATTTTTTAAGAAAAATTCGGTTGCTAAAACTTTCCTACCGCTGAAATGGAAAAGCAAGGTGTGACTGTTTTTTATCTGAGAGTATTTAGTGCATAAACCGTTCTGATAATGCTCACTGCTCCATTTAAGCGCTGGAAAAATGGCTGCAACTATTTTTACCTTACTTCCACCCTTGATTTTTTATTCCAATAAATGCTCAAAACTCCTCGTCCAATGATGCTCCGCAGATAAAGACAGTTTTGAAATCAGCGTTTCATGTACTCCACAGCGGTGCACATCCATTTTGAAAGACTAATTGACTAAACATCCTTTCCTTGCAAGTCTCTCAATGAATTAGGCTTCTGTTGTTCGTCTGCTTATACACCATGGTTAACGAGCGTTAAGCAAAATTTGGTTGTAAAAGGAATGTTACACAGCAAAATGATTTTGCAAAAATTCGCCATGTGAGACTATAGCTTTTTATGACCGTGTATAATTCATTGTCAGAGACATTCTGATCAAGATATAGGGCAATAGCATTGTTCATCAAAGAGTGTACCTGCTTACTGGCAAGTATATGTAGCAAGTAAAGCACAAGAGCTATAAAACATGTAACCCTCGAATTCAAATCTACCACAGTGTATGGGAAGCCCATAAAGCAAAAAATTGAGCAGATAACATCCAGCAACTTAAATCTAGCAACCACGGGGTCAATCAGTTAGATTCACCTGTTCCCTATATTGCTCTTCCTCTCTTTGCTTCCGTTCCTTCTCTGCTTCTCGCCGCGCTTTCTCCTCTTTAATGCGTCTGATTTCCATTTCCTCATATCTTTCCCTCTCTGCTTCTTCAGCTTCCAATCTATAATCAGTTTCAAATGACAAATTTGCAACTCACCAAAATAAACTTCAAAAAATACCTTTTTCTTTCAGCTATCTGTTCGTCGTAGTTAGCAGCAGAACTTCGCCTTTCACTGTTAACTGAGCTCCGTCGAGTCTGTGTGCCTGGAAAGCAGTAAGAACGGATGCTTAGAGTTCGCTTTTTATAAGACTTACTCTCACGTGAGCCTTGTTCCATAGGAGGAACAACCGCAACGTTAGAACTGTTCGAACTATGCGGCTCCTGATCAGGATCTACAGGAGCATTGTGTGCGAGAGTTGTTGGGATTGGAACAGCCATAGGTACTAGAAATAATGGTTTAAATTTTCACCAGCAGCAGCACACATGACAGCTCACGATGATTGCTTCCTATACAAAATCCGCCCTTTCATTTGCAATATTTTTCAATAGCCTGTGTGGGTTTTGAAACGTGCAGGTGACTTCTTTTTGTTTGTATAAATTTCAAATGAATTCATAAATCTAATACAAAAAGAATTGTAATGTCAATTCAAAAAACATCAGATAGCGGGAAAACGCGGTGTGGTCCCGAAGCGCGCGAATGCAATCGGACACCTTCAATTACTGTTTCACTAGTTTTCTAAAAGTTCATTTTCGTAAGAAATTTCTTTGTTTCAGGGTCAAAAGCTGCCATAAATTTGAAAGGAGTCCCAAACTTTAGCCAAGTCCTTTATCTGTATGAATAAAGCTGTATGCTTGTCAGTATGTATGTCTGCACGTATGCTCCGAATAGAGATTTCCATTTCTGAACCGATCCGGTCCAAACTTGGCGCACGTACACTTCGGGGGGGGGGGGGGAGGAGGAGGGGAAGGGTTGTAGGCTACTTTTCGTTATCAATGACATCAATCTCAACATTTCTTGCGAATTTTCACCTACGAGGCTGGAAGTTGGCACTGGAGAGGGGGAGGGGGAGGGGGCTAAGTGGTCATGCCTACTCAGAGCCGTAGTCGCGCCGGACAGTCGAAATCTGGCAGAGCCGCGGCGGACCCAAATAACCATTGAGAGCGGGGCGAGGGGGGCGGTCCCTTCTTGTGGGTCACGGTGACGTCACAAGCAGGCGAATGGGACCCTTCTCCGGATCTGCTCCGGAGGTACGCCAGATTTGGGAGAGCTGCGGCGGAGAGATTTGCCCGCCGCGAGTGCGCCAGATTTGGGAAACCTCCGGAGCAGAATCGCAGGGCTCCGGAGCACAAATGGGAGGGCTCCGGAGCACAAATGGGAGGTCTCCGGAGCACAAATGGGAGGGCTCCGGAGCACGAGTGGCAATCCCCAGCTGGGGAAACCCCGCGGTTCGGCCATTTCTGCTCCGGAGGTATGCCGTCGACTGTCTGAGTACTACGAAAATATTATTGACAAGGGCGGAGCCGGGTTTGCCAGCTAGTTTAAGGCACTTTTGTTAAGCCACCCACTCCCTCGAAATAAACTTCTAGAGCTGCAGTTGATATACCAGTCCCATTAAACAAAATGCAAAGAAAATGAGTATTACCATTCGATACCCCGGATGAGGAGCTACTGAATTTCATTCTGCCACATCTTCTTATTGTTAGGTCTAGCTATGCACTTCTACCATTTTCAAATATTGACACTGACACAATGATAGCGGGATTGAAAAACAATAATGAGAAGAAAAAACCATATTACTGACAGAAAAACGTTCGTGCCTTATCAGTTCTTTCCAAACTTCTAGGAAATATCGGAAGGTGAACCATCAGTGTGGAAAGCTACTTGTTTAAAAATGTACTGAGCTCACTAGAAATGCTACAAGAAGAATTAATCCCAACCTGATGATCCTTGTACCCAGCAGCCATTATGTGGAGCCATTTGCGCTAAATTCTCAGCAACTGTCACGGGACAAATAGGTTTACCTTCTGCTATAGACCTACTGAGATCCTGAAACAGCAATACTATAAGACTATGGAACTCATAAGTGATTAAGCGCGGCGTACCTGAATAGGTATGGGGACTGTACCGGGTGGAACAACATTGATGGGAATTGGCTGCAGATAATTCCACTGCATCCCGTTTGGTCCCTAAAGAATTAACAATTTAGATAAGTGATTATTTATTTTTCACGTGCCACTGAAGTAGCTATTCATTAACATTTCGCACTTCAACGTTGCAAAAAATGACAGCAAACTGGTTTCTACTTCTTAAGAAATTTGATTAGACGTGACCTTAATTGGAGATAGTAAAAACCCACAGCATTCGTGGGAAATCCAACTGGAGTTCCCGGGTACGGATAATATGGAATGGGATAAGCCATTGGCACTTGCTGAGGGGTATATGAAGAGTTAGCTGAGTCCGGTCGCTGAAAAAAACATTTATTTTATAAATTTGGTCTCTTGGGTATAAGTCTGAGTTGCTAAGGATGAAGCATCTCAGAAGCATGAAGCATCGCTATACCAGTTGCACATAAGTTCCATCTTACATGTATATTTTCGTATAATAACACCTTCAGAGAACTTATCAAACATAATGATCGTTCGCATGTTGTTCTGATGACCACGCCGATAACTGCTTACAAAAGCGCAGTCTTCTCAAACTTGATTTAAAATGCATGGAGTCACTGAGTGTGCAGGTCAGGTGAACGCCGCGCACCAATGCGGCGAATTGACCACAACCATAACAAACTCCAACATTTCTGCAATCCTCTTGCAAAAGAGAAGAATAGCCCCGCCTCCTTGAGATTCCCACGCCTTCGACAAGAAAAACACAATTTCCGCTTTTCAGTCAACGCGTACAGAGCGATATGTCACTCCGAATGCATTTGAAAGTTCTCTTTCAGATATTCCCTAGAGTAGCAATTGATCGAGTTGAAGCTTTTGATCATTTTCTGCAATTATTAGGTCATTCGGAAAGTTTTTTCGTTTTCACATCTTCAAATTCAAACGGGCGCAATTTTATCCAGGTTCAACCATTTTATAATAAGTTTCATTGCGTTCAGCAAATTTCTGGTAATTTTTTTCTTGCGAAATAATCTCAGAGAAATCAATAAAGTCTAAAAAGGCGTTTTTGACTAGCTAATCTTTATTGGGTCCTATTCTTTTTTAATAGGCACCAAGGAATTAGAAAATTTGGTGATTGGTGAAGGAAGTCTAAAGAGTTTGAAAAATAAACAGCAACCTCGGTGCGAAGTCAACCCCTTTTGTGAGAGCCACCTTTCTTACATGTGATTTGGCAGCGTCATAGGCGAGGATGGCATCTCTTATAGGTTATACGTGCAAGTCTGCTCAGTTTCAAAATTTTGACAAACGGTCTTCAAAGCGATCACGCTACCCTGCTCTTACACCAGCAACATTGCATTAATTTCAGTACATCAACTTTTGGAATAACTGGTTTTCTGGCCATGCTTTCAAAGCTTATTCCAAATGATTTACCACAATGTTGCTTCTTGTAGCCGTACTTGGCCAATTTTTCGCTGTAATTAATAATCCAGGCTAAAAAAGGATTCCTCCATCAAATTATGAGCAACGAATGCAGAGTCAACGCGCCCTCAATCTGCCAGTGCGACAATTTGTGGGTTTATGTCACTGACATTTTTCGGTATTGCAGCTTTAACGAAGGTGGCTTCCAATGGGGCTATATGGCACTTCTAGGCCTACTGATAATTTAACGCAGCTACATTTGCGATTTGCTCTGAAGGACCCTCTAAGATGCTCGTTTATATGGCAGACACATCTTCCAGAACACTACAAAACTAGATTTCACTTCTCTAGATCTGAGCTTTTTGAAGTAATATTGAAACTACCTCAAGACAAACGTGGCCTAGGCAAATGCATTGCCCATAATGATAATTCCTTCAACTGTCTTACACTCGAGTTTAAGCTTAGAGAATGCAATTATTCGAAAATCGCCCTTTCATATGTCGTGTTTAGAGTCGTGTAAACTTTCCTTCGAAGCGCTTTCTGCAACCAACCAGGATGTCTTCTAGTTCCTGGGATCCCCAGAAACTAGAAGACTTCCTTTACAGATGCATATAAAGCAACCCTATCAGCTCTCTGGCACTCTCTTAAAATATGGCACCAACATCAAAGGCACCAAAAGCGAAAAAACTTTCCTGACCTAATAAGGTAGAATGCTAACCTTGGTCCTTTAATCCACAAACTCAAGAAGCAACACTTTTTCTTGGAAGATTGAAAATTGATCTCATTGTCAGTATAAACGAACTCTCAGTAGTTACAGGGAAGGATAATTGGTAGAAGTAGCGTTTCCATATAAAATGTTTACTATTTTATAGGGACTAGAACGCTGATTCCAAATCTGCTTTCGCTTTCTGCAAAGAGCTTCTGGGAAGGGAGTTATGGGAATTTTTGAGGCAAAATGCAAGGTGGCTAAGGTGAAAACAGGTATTGAAGTCTTTCCGGAGCTTAAAAGGAGTAATAATAGCATAAGTTCATTAGGCTAAAGGTGCTAATTGCATAAAGCCCATGGCAGTTATCATACCCTATTAGAGCTCACAGACTACACCTCGGAATGATTTTACTAGCCACGCGTTCAAATTTTTGCTTTAAAAAAATTCCCATAACTTCCCTCTCAGAAGCGCTTTGCAAACACTGAAAACAGATTTGGAATCAGCGTTCTATGCCCTACAAGAAAGTATATATTACATCTGGAAACTCCACTTCGACCAAGTATCCTTCCTCGTTAGTGACAAAGTTTGTTGGCAATTACTGTATCAAAATGTCGCAAAAGCGCTTCAGCAGCTGCACAGTCAATGATTTGTAACAGCAAAGCAACTGCGATCTCTGAAATATGCATTTGAAAGAGGTTCAATTTTTGACGACACGGGTGTGAAGCATGAAAATTCCAAAAAAGACCATGGAATTGTGTATGGAATGCTCTATCAACAATATACATAATGGTGGAATTTTTTTCAGGCGCAATAACATCAAGCGATATGAGAAGCAGCATTATTTTTGACCTTTGTTACACTAACATCAAAAACTGTGGATGTGCTTTTTCCTTGGCTAATTTTGCACATAAATTTGAACCCTAACGCAGGCGCCAAGAAACGTCATTACGCAATGACACTAAGTGCCTTTTTTGTATGTTCCTACGAATTCAAATCCTGTTAAATGCGCAACGATGCCATTAATAATGTCATCATGAACGACTGCTTCTTGCAAAAGACCAAAAACCTATATGCGCCTGGGAGCAAAGTCCCAGCTGTTAAAGATGATCACTTTAGTAGCCAGATTCCTTTCCAGAGGTCATCCTTCTTCTTCGCCAAAAAATAGAATAAAAACAGTTTGATACACATGTGAGTGCTATGAGACGTGACTGCACAATTTGTCTGCAGAAAGGTTTACAAATGTATTGGAGAAAGGTTCACGGAAGAGATATGAAAGGCTGCTACTTGGCAAATTTTCACCGCTGTAGATATTTTCATTTAATAACAAAATACATAAGCGCTTACAAGAATAATCCTCTCTAGAAACAGAAATACAGTCATCACTGGGTACGTATCAATATAAAGCCGATGTAGCCGAAATTGAGAGATTTTCGTAGACGAGCTATGGCACATAAAAGGATTTATAGACGTCAGACGAGCGTCAATCAAGTGCAAATTATTTCACAATTCTGGAAAACAGCTGTATTTGTACAGATATACAATCGTGAAGAGTTTCAACTGCCAAAAAGCAAATACTATAGAGCGTTATTACATAGTTTAAATTATTCATTTCTATCAGCACCCATTTCGACATGGTTCTAGTATATTCCCTCCTAGTTGAGGGGTTCAGAAAAGCCGCGGAGGGCTCATCAATCAATTCTCCGTCGTCTAAGGGAAGTAACTAAGCATACAATACCTTCCTACCTTTTTATTTTTTCTTTTTCGACATTTGCAACCAATTATCAACTCTACCTTTCTAATGTTATGTCTTGTCAGTTTTTATACCCACTGAGTTCTCAAACTAAGTCGAGACCCATTCATACGATTTTCAAAGAGATCCTATCTGGTTGTGTGATATGCTACGATGTATTTTTCGTAAACTCAAAATATTTAGCAAACTATGTACGAAAACTATAGTCTTTAAACAAACTATGTAACTATTCATGTCTCGCTACCCTCTAGTTAAGAGATATATGTAACACTTACTGAACGACTGCGGCTTTCTGTCTCGCTAGTCATATTCACATAGTTCTGCTGCTTTTTATGAGCAGATGATATCGATCCCGTGTGAGAGCTTGACTCTTCGCTGTGATTGCTGCTTCTATCCTAAATGTACAGTACATATAATCATGTGTACGATAACGGTTAAAATAGAGATGCAAAATGACTTGAAATTGTCGTAGTCAGCAGAACTTTCCATGAATAGAAAAACTGGTTGCGAAATTCAAGAAGATTGGAATGCAAATAAGGGAGAAAGTTTCGACTTCGAAGCGCACTAAAGCGTGACTGCCACCCCCACCCTGGTAATGCGCCTTTTCTTCACAAATAAACACCCCTTTCCTAATCCCATCTATGCCCATTGCAGCGTTTCTGAAGCCTTCGCAAAGTCGAGGTCATGAAAAAATGCCGGCACCATTACGATGACATTAACGAAGAAAAACAAACATGAGCACGCCGTAGCCTAAAAGGAAAGCGATGATTAATTCCTTTTTGAGAGGTTGAGAGAAAATGGTGTTGAGCGCAAACGCCTCTCAGCTCTTGCCCTTTGAAAGCGTTCATACGAAGGATAGATAGAGAGCACTGCGCTCTAGTTTACCAACGTAACTCGATTGCATCCCATACAGAATACAAAGGTACTTCGGTAACCTCAAACCAAGCTAATAGGCTTCCATCTTTTTGCATGTGTGTCCAGCCCCAAGGCCGATGCAGAATTTACATATTAACACTAGGATATCAAAGTTTTTGGGCTTTCTAATGCAAAATTGATTATCAATCATGAAAAATTTCACGCAAGAGGGGCAGAATTTGGGCCCAAAAAAGTGTAATTAATCTCCATCACTTATCTTAAAGTATAATCAAAAATGTTATGCAGATCAAACCCAATGAAACGGAACTATGGATAGTTGTTGTTCAGAACCTCATTAAATGACTTTACAAAAGCGTATAATGAAGATATTTTGGTAGGAATGCAATACTGCCACAAAATTCACATACTTTTCAAATGTCTACCTATCCATCTTACAAGGGAAGCGTTTTTAGTCGAAGTGGCTTATCCAAATGATTCCTACACCACTTTGAAGAGGATTAAACGCTGATTCCAAATCCGTTTTGACTACCTGCCAGGCCCCCTGGGCGCCGAGTTATGATGTGTTTTTTGGAGCAAAAAATGAACGCCGAATCTATGTAAAAACAGTAATCACGATATTTCCTGCGCTCAAATAGAGCAGATATTTCCTGCGCTCAAATAGAGCACTGTTGAGTATGAGGGTATTAGACAGAAGGTATTCATGAAATGAAGTGCTCTGATAATGAACACCTGACCATTTTAGCAGTCTTGGACGATTTTGTTGCAGTTGTGCATTCAGCTTTCCGACTTAAAAATGCCCATAACTCGGCCTCCAGAGGAGCTTGGCAGATATGGAATACGGATTTGGAATCATCGTTCAATGCTCTACAAACTGATATAGGTGGCATGTGGAAAGGCCACTTCGACTAAAGACACTTCCCTTGTTAGTTCTTCACAACAAGGAAGCGGACCCACTGGTCTTTCGCTTAGGAGTCACTAAGAGTGGAGAGCTCGCAAAACGCTGATTATTGAATTGCTTTCCACATATGCTGAAAGAATTTCTATGCGAAGTTGTCGTCTTTCTGCAGTCAGAATCATTGTCCGGTTCTCCTCTGAACCGAGTAACTGCGAGACTTCAAAGCTATATTCGGAAATGTATCCCAAGTATTTGAGAATTTGCAGCGGATGGGTTCAAATGCTACTTGGCTATTACAGCCAGCTACCACTCGCTAAGCGCAAAAAGAAAATTAGTGAACTTTCTACCAGATATGAAACATGGTTGGGAACCAGGACTCTGGGAGCTATTGACTGATACTACGCTAGGAAAGGACAATTCCAACTGAGATGCCTTTTCCTGTCAGTAATAGCTAAGAATGTGAAGGTCTCAAGAAACAGAGTTCTGGCAGGAACTTCAGGTATACGATCAGTGAACTGCCATTTTTCTGCTACAGTCCCTGCTGTTCCTTATTTCTCGGATAGCTACAAATGCTCAGAATTGTAAGAAATCCACCTCCACGTCAATAACAAACACGCTATCTGCTCATATAAACAACACACCTCTTTTTGATATTCGTAGAACTTGTGCGTTTCTTGCTGCGTACCTACCCAAAATATCTTCGTTTACACCAGGGAAGTAAAGAAGTGTAGCATACTGCGCAAACTTTCTTAACCCTCGGAGTTATGTTAAGATTTTCTCAGAATCCTCGAATTCACGCTATCTTGAACCTACAACAAAGTTAAACCTCTGCAAAACCAGTCTACTACAAACAATCCTCTACAGTGGTAAGCAATGTTGATCAAAATAACGGCAGATCTACTAGTTTTGAAGTGGAAAGCCTTGAAATTGCTCTGGATTGAGTTACAATGCATTGCAGTGCAGCGACGTTCGAAGAAAAGCCATGGTTTGTTCTTAAGCTTAACGCGCTATGAGCAGGCACAACGTACAAAGAGGGTGGTCCGGGCAAGTCAAAGTCAACAGGATTGCGATATTATACAGAAGCACTTGGCGCGTATTTGCAAAATAGCCAGAGCGAGGAGCAGCGCTGGACAAGCAGCTCTCGAGAAGCCGAGATGAAAGACAAAACACACATTTGCCAAACACTACAATGCAAACGTGTAGATCAAACACACAACATCAGAGAGATCTTCAAACCAAATATCAAAATAAAGCGACTTTGCCATAGGTGAACTGGCACATCTTATCCGCACAGGAAATAAAAAATTTCATTGCGAACCGCGTCCCCACCACCGTAGATCTCTATGGTCATATTTCGAATAAAAGTCTTTACTTTCAGCATTCCAAAGGAATTTCGCAGGTAATACTTATGCAAAGGTAGGGCACCCATGAGAAGAGTTTTGGTAAATAATCAAAAGGTAGCACTTATCCATTCCATAGAAGAACCATTCTGTGAAATCAATAGCGGATAACGCACCGCATTTCAGGATGCTTGGAAAATAAAGAATTTTCGTAGACTGAAAATCGCTTTGATTCATCGTTGGCTTGCTTTTACTTTTTCAATTCTTAATACCATTTCAAGACAAAGCTTTGCTTAATTGTTCCACAGCTCAGAGTACAGTCTAACAACCATTCCTTATCAAGACTGCAGCACAAAGAGAACGGTTAAAGAAAAAAATAGCAAACAATAGCTACTTTATTTGAAAGACAGCTGTAAGAAAGTACGCGTCGATCCAATTAGCTCGGAAAGGAAAAAAATTGAGAGGCAGTAAAGTAAATAACGTGTACAATGACAAAGCTGCATCTACGACTCCATGAATTCAAATAATCTTGTTAGTAAATGAAGTTACGGCGAACATAGTACAGCGACTCGATAATAACTCGAGAAGCTCAAGAGAAAGTAGGTATGAAGGACGAGTTGTATGACGAAGTCACAGAACACCACTTTGGTAGGAACTCGAAAAAATATTGGAATAAAAGCAGGGGGACTTGCTTTGAACTATGTTCACGAACATTAAAGTCAAGGAGTATGCTCAGTGACTCCGTGATGACCAAAACCCTAATTTACTATCCCGTATGAAACGCTATGACTTCTTCTAGTTATCCTCCAAGCACCCAAAGTCTATTTACCGAACTGTCTTATGAACAAGGTTTCTATGATTACCATGGCTATATGACTGAAAACTTGAAGCAGAAAACAGCAGAGCGAGCTATGATGGAATCGAAAGGTCATGAACAACATTTTTCGGTGCATGCAGTTACCTGTCATATTTCAATGCGCTAAGTCATCAAAACGTCTTCAGAAAGTGCACATCATTTTCTCATGGCCTTCAAATGACCGCGCACATAAGCACATTCAATCATCATTCTCACAACTTCTTTGGAATAGCAAAAAAAATGCTAGGATATTACTGATTCTGTCAACTACCAAAAAAAACCCTTGATTTGAGTGCAGTTGACCATAGTATACATCCCTGACAACGACTACTACAACATTTGTATTTATGTTTTTACATTACGACCAGAATTGCTTCACCTTACAAGATCCTATTAAATGGAACGATGAACTACAAAAGAAAAACAAGAGGATGGCAAAGGAAATGCATGAATGGGAAAATGGCAAGGTAGCAGCAGAGTCTTTGTATCAAAAATGACTATCAGCTGACTAGAAAATTAAATAGACAAGTGGCAAGGCTTTTCAATTTGACATTGAGCGGATTAGATACTATGTTAGTGTACTATTTTGGGAGAGGGTCAAGAGGCGCAATTTGTTCGGCTGTCACCAACTCAGAACTCCAGTTTAGTGTTATGCGAGTCTTCAAAAAATACCAGATAAAGTGCGTTGGTTTTCTGTCTGAGGTAACAACACTTGCTGAGTTTGGTGGCTTTTGATGAAAAACGGACCAAAATATTTACGAGTTTGTTCTTGTCTGCATTTCCTTGGGTTTTTGACTTTATAAATTGCTGTTTTGAATTGATTCCAGGGCAGCAAGATTAAGCAACTCATGCAACTATCTAATATATCTTCTCCTATAATTTAAATGCTTTTATAATGTATAAAAATCTTATTATGTGCTATGTGGTGTCCGTCTGGCAATAAAAATCGCGCCTATTAATATACACCCTACTATTTTTGGTGTATTTTGTTCCATCCCTGACCACTAATTGATTATACGCCCTCAATCTGCTCGGTTAATACGATCGGACAACAATGCAATACGTACCATAAAAATATCGCGTAGGCAGACGGATTGACGAGTCACGAATCCGATTACAATGAATATGAATCGGATCTGCTATTGATGATCAAAGGAGGACAATCTGCGGATTGCATACAGCAGCATCAATAACATACAGGAACACCGCTGGCAAAGCAGATTTCCCATTTCGCGGACTCGCCACCTAGGACTTTCTAGATTTGAGACGATTATAGCCATAGCCATAAATGTCATGTAAAAAGTCTAGCTGCTTTCAGATTTGTGAGTCAGAAAAACTATTTCCGCTTCAATGAGCTTCCATAGAGTTTCGAAGAGGTGTAAGTTTTTTCCTGCAGCGAGCGCAACACCCTGAGTTCCATGATGCAAAAGAATGACAAGAATCCACACAGCTAGAATAGTTTCGGATGCACAATGATTTCCACCAACTGGAGTAGAAATCTCAGCATTTCTCAGTGTTTCTTATTCACGTACAAAATAAGGTATTGATCAAATTGGTGCCGAAGAAGAATAGAGACAATTCAAAAGTGGTAAGTGATTGAAGAATTTGATCCCTGACCATCTGAACCAAGTGATCGCAGAACTATATGAGCAAATGCAAAGGGAAAAGGCGGTGAATTCTCAAATTCGCCATTTTGCAGCATTTCTTTTTATTTTAGTTAGTTTAGTGAAGATCGTCTTCTGCCTTGCTAATAATTCTATTCTATACACTTCTATGAAAAACAAAAAAAAAGAGGGAAGACAGTCGTAGGGTGCGGATCTGCCATCTTTACTGTGAAAAGAGTTAAACCCTCTCCTCTCAAATATGGCAAAACATTATGAGCTGGTGTTAACCTATGGAGAGTCATCACTTGCAAGATTTCATGGCATCTTTTCAAGATCGTGGATGAAGTGTTATCAAAGACATTTTCAACGTTCCTTGACTTTTCCTTCATATTTTGAACTGATTTTATTCCTCTTACCTCCTCGTCTATATAGTCTAGTTCTACATCTGCACAAAATCTAGCAAGAATCTCAAAAGTTTAGATCTCGCCTAAAGTTCATCACAACCAGGACCCAGACACAGAATGAAGGCAAAACTTTTGTGATACTGGATGGTATAAACAAGGCGAAGAAATATAGAAAGCATGAAAGCATCACTACACGTATGAGCAGTAGGTCTACATCAACAAATGAAAGACTTGTACAAGCAAAGCAAGACGATGAGCGAATTGCAAGCACTGCTCCAACTACCCTGTCGCAAAGCTAATGCTCAATCTCCCCTTAATCTTCCTGACGTTGCTTGTCTTTCCACCAGAATGTGGAAAGAAATGCTGTTTTACTTACAAGAAAGAGTAGCGGCCTGCATTAATTCCAAAACTAAATAACAAGAATTGACTGGACCGGACAAAATCAAATCTGGTCTTCACTAACGACAAAGTCTTAGAGACTTCTCCGACAAGTATCAATAGGAATTTCATCATTAATAATATTTACTTCTCACATTTTCGTGTAAAAACACTGGAACTCATGCTAGCAGCCAAATGTGAGAACACATATAAAACCAGCTTTATGGGCGCATGAGATAAAAAGTCTTAATATTGACGCAGCAATGGCTTTTTCCAAAGAGTGTCAATGCTGTGATAATAACTGAGACTTTTGTTAGCACTGGTGGGAAATAATGTATTGAGTAAAAAGGAAAAAATTCTGCGATTTCTCACTTCTATCCAAAATGCATCTAAACCAGTCAGTTTCGCAGTTTCTGATTAGACATCGGACGCTACATTACGAATGCAACTTTTTGATCTTACTTTTCACCGAAAATTTGATGTGCAAGCCGGCAAAACTCCTCACTTTTGTTCGCAAACCGCAGTTCGAAGTGTTATCGCAACCTGTGGAGAGCGATAACGCCTTGCACGCAAACAATCGCATCGCACGCAAAAAATTTGACGAGGTGAGCCATAGCGAGAGCTTATTAGGAGACCAGAGATTGATGACAGTTGATGAGCAAAGCGACATTAATGACAGGATCAAGTTAACACAGCGGCTTGAAAAAAAGGTGAAGTTGAAAAAACAAACGCAAGAATGACAGGGGCGTTGGGTGAAGATAAGAGAGTGTGGTGAAAAAGATTTTCACCTGAATGAACCAAAGAAATTGACAAAAACGTTTAATTTTCAGATACCAGTTTAAAGAGGGAAAAATGTCGTTTGTTCAAGATAAAACAACACGACGAACCGGAGATGATGTATGATGAATACCATCCAGTAGAGCGAAATAAACTTTCTAGAGAACCTCATTAGTATAAGTCGTGGATAACGCATTTCATATCGCCAAAGATTGGACTTTCGCCCAAAAATCGGGAAATTTTTTTTACTTACTCTTGCACGTAGCAGACACACACACTCATCCATATAAAATTGCTACAATTCGTTTCAAAAACAAGAAAAATGGAAAAGGGAAAATAGAAAACTCCGCACCAACAGTCTTAAACTCCCTTCAGTTGTGCACTACGAAGCTTCGGAACTATGCTCCCACTTTTGAAAAATATCATTTACTCAAAAAAAAAACTAAATAATGAAGTTCTTTTCTTAACAACCCTAAAACAAATGCTAGCGGGGGGGGGGGGAGTATGGATACGATCATTTGCCGATGCGACAATGAGAATACGATATGAGATATTACAAGAGTATGGAAAAGGCTATTGAACCATGTTTCTTGAGCAATAAACCGCGACATTATTATCTAACAGTCTATTCTCGAGCAAGTGTGCCAAACCTGTTCTCCATTGCACTTTCATTGACATTCTCTCACACTTTGCATGAACTTGTGCAGTGATCAAGACAAAAAGAGTGCACAACGAGAGAGGTCAACAGGTGTTTACCGTTTGTGCAGCGTGAACTCTCTTCGCGCAGCATAAGGCCCATGCAAAGGCTTACATTCTACTAGCCCAGCTGTTCGGCGTAAAAACCGTCGCTGACTGACATGCTACGCCACCTGCACTCTATCGAGCCACCATAAATTGAGAAGACAGCTACAAGCAGAAGTCGAGTGAGACAGGACGCTTTTGGTCCATAGAGAAACGAACAAAGAGCAAAGGACACAGAGATTAAGATAAAAACCAGAACACACCTAGGTGTGGGTAGCACGATAAAATAAAAATGGATGTGTGCTTTCCTTTTAGAACCACAAGAAACGGAGACGTAAAGAAACATGTTTCACACAAAAGATTCAGGGAGTGTTGGAAAAATGAGTAAATGCGCTCGCCTACGACGGACAAAAAGAAAGAGAAAATTGCCAACTTTTACAACCTATCTAACAGAGTACAAGAGTGATTCCAACTTTCTACGAGAAGCAATTAGAGCCAAAGTGTTTTTGCCCGATTATAGTCAAAACACCTATACGACGCCATTCTTTGGGAAACAGGTTCGCTTCCAAACTATGCCATAGGTATCGTGCGTGCAACAATTATGGGAAAAGGGAAACCGTAGCAGGATTTGAGGATAAAAAAGCATAGGTGGAACAAAAAAGAAATTGCCGAGCAAAAATGTTTTAATGAATCATGAAGAAGACAAACGATTAGAAAGGTGTAACCATAAAATAAGCGATGAGAGCGAAAAGAAAGAAAACCGAAAGATACTAGAGCAACTCACATGTGATGGTGACTCCTGCGTTTCAGCTTTTGCTATCGGTGATCCGTAATCGATAGGTTCATACTTTCGATTCGGTGTTCCCCCACCGGGTGTGCCGAAAGGAAACCAAATATTCTCAGATTCTTCCGCTAAAGGCAAATAATTTTTGACAAACAAAAGAGTGTAAAAGCAATTTTAGCTTTTCAACCGTAAAAATTAGGCGGAAACCAATAGCAACGGCAGCCATAAATCATACCTCTTTCTCGCGCCCACTGGTCTTGTTTTTTCCTAAGCAGCGATCCATCGCGTTGATGTGTACTCATCGCATCTGCTAGAGCGTCTCCTACAAACTATTTTTGCACTTTTGCACAATCGGCGTCTTTTTACGTTTGCGGCTACTCCAGGACAAAGCTGTATAGGCTTTGCACTTCATAACAGAATTGATGCTTGTTTCGATACTCTAGCGGGGCAGGTGACGATTCGATCGAGGAGAGGGCGAACAAAAACAAAGAGACATGTACATAAAACCAAAACACCGCTAGAATGGCGATAACTAGTAGTAAACAAAAAAAAACACCATCAAATCGTTTATGTACTTCGTGCTAATCTCACCTAATAAGATGTAGCTCTTCTAGGAAGAGAAATCATTGTAGAAAATACGACTATATTCGAGTAAAAAGCAAAAATAGAGCAGAACTAGCGAAAAGCAAAACATCTACAAATCAAGCTTGCAGCCCTAGTATAAACGGAATTGCTAAGAAAACCTGGAGACAGCGGCGACAGGTCCCGAGCCAAACACTAGTGTAAGTGGTCGAAAAACACGAAATGTTTGTTCGACGATACGTATCCGCAAGAACGCAGCACGCGCCATCCGACGCGAACGCAATGTGCGGAAGATAGCATCGGCGACGGCCGACCCCGCCCCCGCCCCGGCCGGCGTTGGTACCCCCGACGCCGGTGAGGTTAGTCATGCCGGGGCCCCTCGTCGCTGCAAACAGCCCCTCATCTGACGCCTCTTACGCTCAAGCGTACGCACTTTTTTTGGGGAACGGTCAGGAGTCACGGTCGGCGCGAATTTTTCGCGAAGCGATGCCGCAAGCGATGTCAGCAAAACAGAAGCCAGCACTCCTGGCGCAGTCTTACTTATGACACGAGCCATGTATCTGCCCCCACCCCCCACCCCCCTAGACTGGCGCCGTGCCACTTTAGCACCGGGCAGTTTTGTGGGGTACAAAATTTAGACGCGACCTTCGCGGCGAAGCGGCGCGGCGCGCGGCGTGACTCCTGACATGGAGCCCTTTTTTTGGTGCGGCGGCAACTATGCGACTACCATTCTCGACAGGCACAATAACTCGTTCTTCAGCCGTCTGGTAATTTTGCATGTTGTGCAGTTCCAGCCTCGCTGATGAAGAGGTATAGTCCAGTGAAGGGGCCGGGGCCATACTATTCCAGGAGGTGATTCCTGCAATTCCTGTAATTTCTGCAGTTCCTGTGATTCCTCCATTTCCGATGTACCGCGCTACGGAGCGCTTTGTGAATCTCAGCATACACTGTTTTTTGCAATATATATTATTACGGGACCCGCAGGGATCACAAGAATCGTAGGAATTGTGGGAATCACAGGAATAGTATGGACGGTCCCGAACTTGACCTTAAACGTAATGTTTTTGCATGACAACCTGCGCACAAAAAGTGGTTAAGGTGCGCAATATTCAAATTGAGCGCGCACTGGCCACCATATACGCGTAAGTGTTGTTGGGACCGCAGGAGCGTTCTATTAACCGTTACACCATCACTAGGCTATATCCAGAGTAAGCTCAATAGTCTTACTTCAGTTTGCTCACTCAGGTTGCAACAGAATGCTTGATAAGGAAGTTTTACGCCTACAATGTTTTTCTTTAGGAGAACCATGAAAAATTTAACGCCCCAGTTCTATATATGCTTGTTTCAGCAGTCCCTTTGCGTAATGTCACATTTTACATTCTGCTTTGCGGCAGAATTACCATAATTGAGCGAACAGGAGACGAAAAAGTGGCATAATACACTGAGAATGCAAAAAGGTTGTTTCTTTCTGCGCAAACATCAAATAGAAGCGACCGTATTTTACCCTTCATTACTTGGCTCTAAATGAAGAGGTTTGAATCTCGAAGAAGTATATGCCCACTACTGCGTTTAAGTGTCCACAAAACCATGGGATCACATCTTTTGCAAATACATGGAAGTTATACTGTTACTACTTCGCACCTGGAAGTCAGCGTCCAAAACTTGGGAAGCTGGACTTCTTACAAGGGAAGGAAGGTTGGTCGAAGTGACCTTTTGAGATGAGATGTACAATGTCTTGTAGAGCTTGGAATGCTGTTCCGAGATCTACTTTTGCTTTCTGCTGTGGGCTTGTGGGCGAGGAGTTATGAAGTAAAGTTTTTGTGAGTAAAAATTTCAATGCAAGACTAGTATAAAATCTGCCGTAACCTTTTCCCAACATTAACATGAGGCAGCAACGAGTTGTTATATTTAAATCAAGAATATTTGATGCACCGAGTGACGCGAATATCAGTTAAGTCCTAGAAAAAATGTCTCAGCTAATTCTACGCTAATTTTGCATTCAACTTTATACTCACAAAAATTTTCACAACTCCCCACCCAGAGGTCCGCAGCATATAGCAAGGGTATATTTGAAATCAGCGCTCCAAGCTCTATAGAACCGTGTGCATCTCATCTCAAAAGTCCACTTCGACCAACCTTCCTTCCCTTGTTAGGTGGATATTGTTGACTGGATGTCTTCAAGTAAGCCTCAAGCTAGTATGAGTTCGTGATCAAGCAGTTCAGCTTTTCACTCACGCTCACCACGATACTCGGCTAATTAATCGCTCAGAGAGATCTCGGTACTGACCGAAAATTCAGAGTTGTGTTATCACTAAAAATTCATCTGAGTCCCTTTTGATAATTGCCTCAATCAAAACACTGAGTAGTAAAAATGCAGTACAGAGATGAGCTGTGTGGGAATTTCGCGAATCCTTCAGTTCTATCCAAATTCCGCCATCTTTTACGCGAAAGAGGTAGAGCGCGGAGTGATAAGAAACATCTTGCAGTGCTGATAATTCAGATTAGACATCGCGACCTAATCAGCAAAGGACTTAGGCAATCAAGAATGAACAGCTGACGTAAGTTTAAGAGCAAGAACCGCAGCTTATCACTAAACCCCATAGGCTGCTGCACGACGAAGGCGCAGTTTCCTCGGGCGCGAACACGGCTTTATTGCCGCAGGAAACATGAGGCACAGGATTTTCTACGCTGAGGATACGCGCGCGCCGCGTTCGCGTCCGTTCAACTAATGCTCCTTCTGCGCCTTCGTCATGCAGTAGCCTTTACGTCCTATACACCCCCCCCCCCCCCACCCAACCACTGCAAAAAGTGACATGGAATCATATCGAGTTGCTGGAGCTGCACGCTCACGGCGACTAAGTTTGCTTATGAGTGATTAGAACTATTGGCCAATGATAATCAGCCGTAATGCAGTGAATTTCCCATTTACAAATGGTTTAGAACCCTCCACTCATTATCGTTCCTACTTTCACAATGCCATTGTATCTGCTCGTTTGAGACAGTGTTCAGGCAAAATCTTTGCTACCCCGATTAGCACTTAACCTAAAAGCAGCCTTAGGAGAGGGGCATCTGCGTTGGTCCGGTCCTCCAGTGCTTCTTCCGAATGGGAAGAATGGACCTGGACCCCGCAAAAGTACTATTAGGTTGGCCCGAAAGGTCTGTCGCACCATCTTTAGAAATTCAACTCGTGAGTTTCTTAGCCAATTTGCTTGCTATTATTTTTATTTGAAAGAGTTAATCGTTCTCTTCATAATGGTGTCTTAGAAGCTTCCTAATGAGTATACATTGCATAGATAGAAACGGTAGAAAAAATAACTCAAATTTTGAATTTTTATGTAAGGTCATAAGAAATCCGAACGTTGCAGTAAAAAACGGAGTTATCAGTATTAAAGGTTCTGTTACCTGCTCTTTCTAACTCTGCAAAGTTTGTGCTGATTCAGCGTCTCTATAGAAAGTTATGATTTTCGAGCAAATAATACAAAAAGGCGAATTTGATTTATTTTGGCATTTTTCTCGAAAGTCATAACATTTTTCATAGAGACGCTGAATCAGCACAAACTTTGCACAGTTAGAAAGAGCAGGTAATATAACCTATAATACTAACAGCTCCGATTTTTACACCAACTTGATTTTTTATGACCCTACAGAGAAAATTCAAAATTTGAATAATTTTCTTCGACTGTTTCTATCTATGCAATGTAGGCACATTAAAAAGCCGCTAAGACATCGCTATGAAGAGAACGATTTCTTCTTTCAAACAAAAATGAAGGCAAGCAAATTGGTTGAGAAACTCAGGAGTTGTGAATTTTTGAAGATGGTGCGACAGAACTTTCGAGCCAACCTAATATCAAGCCACGCCCGCCCGCGCCCCGAGGACAGGGTTTCCGGCTTTTTGGGGTTCACATTTCGCATTTCATAACTGTAGCCAGGGATGCGGAAAGGCCTCAGAATGACAAAAACACGGAAGCCTAAATTTCAGGTGGCATTTGCCTTCAACATAGTGTTACGCTGTCGAACCAAATGTGAAAATTAACATGGAGCAAGCGCTATAAGTCGTTTTTACATGCTATTATTTGAGGCATTACAAATATGGCAATTTTTTGCCTAGATGTTGTTCAAGGTGTAGAAGCAATCTAGTAATCTTCAACTTCCCGGCTACCTTGGTGTTGACCTTACATCCAGTGTTAGTAGTTAAAAACAGGGACCTATCGCCATGAATTAATGCATCCGTCATTTGTCAGATTTCAAAGCGAAAGCTTTGCGCCAATTCCAGGTTTTCGTGTGTTTTAATGATGACAGCTGACTGCAGACGCAAATTTCCCAAAACATTTTTCATGAGCTTGCTCTTCTCAAAAGATTTATGGACAGGTAAGTGAAATTTTGTGCTTGCACATGTGATCCCTTAAGGTCACCATTTAAATTTGTCTACTTGGATTTGCAGTTTTTTGAAATTACACATTGTTCTGCTCTAGCAAACTTCTAATCTTGCTGTTATGCAGACCCTATACTTCATAAAAATCTGTGAACACTACTTATACTATGACAGATATGATTCTAAAGGTCCTTGCGGTGCTGACAACACTTGCGCGTAAAAAATGACCATAAAGCGCGCACCAGGTTTTGCGCCGCACTCACTTTTTCGGCGCTAGTGTCACCGACAAGCCAAAAACACAATGCTAGTCGTCAAATGCCAGACTATCAGTATCGCTTTTCTATTTAGCATTACAAAGCTATAAAGCTTTTTGAGTTGGAGTGTTGATTGACTATCTGTTATTTTGGTAGATGAAGTCTTTCTGTTATCGCTTAAAAAAAACATGAGTCTGGAACATTCTTTTAACAGGAATTCTATCTTCACAAAGTAATCTTCCTATAGAGATTGAAATCTTCGAAAAAGCTTGTTATTATGATGGCATGCTATGAGAGTATGCTATTCCTAGACCTGCGCAAAAAGTACAGGCACTCAGCAGATGGTAAAATGCACATCGCCATGACACGTTCAGTCTTTTGAAAAGAAGAAGTCTGGCTTTGTGAGATCTTCGCGAGTTTTCATCGCGGAAATATTATGGAATGCAAGTGAAAAACGAAGACCAACAAGAATTAAGCCGGTAAGCCGCTGATATGTAGAATTACGCAAAAAATCAAAAACTTTAAGGTCCAAAGATCTACTCCATCCAAGCGGAGAGTTT